ATATGGGGATTGGTAAGTATTAGAGAACATATGTTTTCTTAATTCATGTACAGCACAGTACTGCAGTGTATTCATCCATCACACTTATTGAATCCTCAAAACTTTTAGAAACTGCCATGTGACCCTACAATTCTCTGTAAACGTTGCTCCCAAACATATTTATTTAGATTAAATCAACATTATTAATAGGAAACATGTTGCACGATCAGTACAGAATATGAGATGTTTCTTTATACTGTACGGTACAGTATATAATATGATATCATTATATTAAAGTAATGGATAATTTAGGGGATTTCCAATCCATGTGCAGAACATTACTGTACAGTATTATCACTTTATTTGGCTAACCCCAGACAATTTTACTCAGCACAGAGAGATCCCTCATAAACAGAGAGTTAAGGAACATTACTGCCCTGTATGTCTCAATATTGTATCTACTGGTGTAATTACTTACAGTATACTTAGTATATATGAATTACTGTATAGTATCATTCCAGAATAACGACTGCGACGTTGTCAGCAGGTGCTGAGTGAAACCATGGATGGCTATTGTTAGCCATTAAACTGCTATAAATTGCCAAACTTTGAGTATGAGGACTTTTGAGACACCCTCTAAGACTGTATATACTGAACTTAAATTATATTACAGTATTTTTAAGTCAAACAATATATACACATGATAATGTTCCTATTTTCTATGATGATTTACCAGAAAAACAACTCTAATGCAGTGCTATAATTATACAGTATTACTGATAAAGTTAGCAGAATGTTTAAGTATCATATATGCCTCCAAGTTCATGGCCTAACCTTCACATGAATCCAGTGACCCTTGAACAGATGGGTAGATTTTCTTGAAACATGACATAGCCAATGGTCCTTCTATGAACTCAGACAATATTTGATACTTGACATGAACCACTGTCTAACCCAGGGAACGTAAGGCCTCCGGGGATATAGTGTGATTACTTCCTTTGTTAGACAGTCAGACTAACACTTGAGTTCTATAGCATACATTGTACTGTGAGTATTATTATAGCTAGTTTTTAACATTCAAATGTGTGGAGATTAGCAATGGCTGAAATGATTAAGGAGAATGCTACATTCAGTCACCGCTTCAAAGAGCCCCTACAGAAAACAAGGCTTTAAAAATGTCAACAAAGAGCCTTTTTGGTACAATATTCACAGAAACTAAAAATAACAGTAAAGGATAAGTCTCACTATATCACCACAGTTTACAAAGTGTAATTTGTCAGTGTTGGCTTAATTTCTATGTTCAGAATTAATACCTACACAAATAGTAACCAATTCCAATTTTACTCTTGGTATCAAATTAAATTAAATCTTAATGGATAACCACCACAAAATTAATGTAAAATTATAAATAATTACGTAGTCATGTGTCAATAGAGGACAATTCACAGATAATAATTCTTTATTAGAATTTCTTGCCATATTACTGTATTCAATACACGTAGTCCCCGAGTTATGGGCATTAGCGGAATTCCCATATGACCAGGGTGACTCCAGAATTAATTTGTTTGCGTTACGAGAATTATGGCCATTTTGAGAAACATGCCATATATTCCTTTACAGTGGCTGAGGTTAGGCACACACAACGAGAATGATGACAACCTCTTGAGTTGTGAGTACAGTACAGTATAATGAATTATAATACTGTATTATGTTTACACTGATAACCTCTTGAGAATTATGTTATATTTTGAGTACAATGAATACAACTAGTATAATGAGTATAATGCATATAATGAGTACGATGAGTAAAATTAATATACTTCTGTGAGCATAATAATGTGTATAAATGATGAGTATAGAGTATAAGTTATAAGGATTACAATAAGTATAATGTGATGATTATAATGAATATATTAAGTGTGATGAATATTATGTGTATTATGAGGAAATGATTATAATGAATAAAATGCTTACAAAAATTACAATGTGTATGACCATGAGTATAATTAATGCAGTATGTGTACTGTATATTGATCATAATGAGTTAGAGTAGTATGATACGGTTAGGTAAAGCCAGGACTGGGTTAGGTTAAGCACACTTGATATGAATTCTTTCATGTGTTTTGTGACAGTCCATCCTGGTGGGGTGTCGCCTCCTGACCCTCGTCCCTGTGGCCATTTTACTTTATTTCCTCCGTATTTCTGGCCACTATGTGATTCTAAGATATCTACACAACCTAAAGTCTTTAATTAAGTAACGAGAAGCGGTTGTTAATATGAAACAAATTTTGACAGTTGACTGATCAAACAAGTTGTTGGTGGGAGATATGAGATATTTCTGGTTTGAATTAAACCAGTTCAAAGTACTTCTGGTCATAGTGTTATATTAAAATTCTGAAGCATACCGGGGTATTGGTTATAAATTTATAATATCAGTACAGTGAGTATGGTCATTGAACAGTGTCAACTCTGACAGTTTACTGATGTAACAGGTTGCTCTGAGGCCAGTTTAAACTGCTATTTCAGTACTTCTGATGAAGATGTTATTTAACCACTAAAAACAAACTAAAGAGGTTACACAATAAGAAGGTTGATATTTGTAAAAGGAATTGAAATTCACGACAGTGAGGAGTGACATATTAGGAAACAAAGGTTATGAAAGGAGAACTACTTGGCAAACATCTCCACCTCCAGGAAGCTTCCTCCGTCATCTCCTACAAAAATAGCATCAAGGGTATAAAGTGACGTTATTGTCAGGTGCACCATCTGCTATCTCAACCTACAATACATCTCCTTACACAACAATAATCTTATTATTATGACATAATTCCAGCCCACTACATGGGCAATGACCAAGTATTCTTTTATTTGTTATTTAGGGAATACAATACTAATATTACACTATTTTTTTAATCCAAATATTGAAAAAAGACTTACTGTGTTGATTGAACAGGTTGATTCGCAAAGAATAAACACAGGCGGTAGGAATATGTTTCTCAGATATTATACACGATCACTGTCAACACCTCAAGACCTGCCGACACCAATGACGAAACCCACCGAGCAGAGCAACTCAGACAATGTTAAGAACATACGACGTAAGGGACCGGGAAATCCATTTTTTAGGGAATAAGACCCTACTAAATATATTTCAGCTTTACGATACATATTATGTAATTATTATTTATATTTAATTTGGTTGCATTTGGCTTTTATAATTTTATAAATAATTTTAGTACATCACAAGTTATGTTCGTGGTAATTTCTAACACTAGTTATATTGCTCCCTAAATACACTGAGTTTGCGCAACTTGTTTTGAGAGGCAACTGCTTGTGATTAAAAAATATTTAAACACAAACTTACAATTTTAAGAAAAAAACAAAAAATATTATTATTCATAAATATATTATATTTTAATTACATTAATCATTTGTGCTTATTACAATAAAAAAATATAAATAATATTGTATTCTCTATTAAACGTGTTTTCCCGCGCATGAGCGGGGATGAAAATGAGAGCGATCATTTGTCTAATACATGTAAACTAGGATAAAATATATTCTTCTGTAAGCATGGGTTCTTTCGGAATTACTTAATGATGTTCATATTATTAAACTTAAATGATCGCATTAAAAAAAATTGGAGGCTTTTCACCACTCGAAATTTTGTTAACATTGGCCATTTGCGAGGTAAGTGGTCATTTGTCACGCAAATTTTCCACGGGAAAATACAATTGCAAGCTCAATTATCACCAAAACCTGGAATTTAAGACAAAATTATATTCACAAAATCCACACGTCAGGAACCAAAGTTATACCACAAAATATAAATTCACTGCCTGGTGATGTAACTATTTACGTAAAAGCGGGTTTAATAAAAGTTTCATAAAAGCGGGTTATTTCACCGTGATTCAACTAAAGAAGGATATGTACTGTACTTACAGATAGAGCAGACATAATAATATTAATAATTAAATGGATGGGGGAGGTAGGTACAGATGCGTGTTGCTACACCCTCTGATACAGGCTGACTGCCGCTCACAGTCTCTCCACAGGTTGCTCAGCCGCTGGTGGTGGAGTGCACTGTTCGACCCAAGGGAGGAGATAGGTTGGGTGACGTATCCCGCACCTGGTATACGGCCTCATTTAGTAAGAGCAATTTAACCTTTTCGTATCTATCCATAACCCAAAATTGAATCTAAAAAAATCAACTGAAGAAGGCTGGACCCTCAGATATCTCTAGATTAACTAAATTACTTTTATATGTCCTCCCTCTCCCATTAAATGTTAAATTTTAGATGCATCCAGAGCCGTAGATAGAGGAAGTTCGGCCAACTACTAACCACTGAGTAACCAGGCGCCATGATGTTACTCAGTGGGTGGGATGTCTTCTCGGGCTGTCTCCCACAAAGTTTATAAACATGCTTGCTTATCCAATTGTAAACATGTATGATAATTTTACTAAATAGACAACATCACCATCATCATAATTATCCTCTATAGTACGAGCGGAAACTTCTTCATCAGCTGAGTAATAACATGGCGTCCACATGTCACTGAGTTGACCGAACTCTATCCTTGGCTCTGTGGTCCTCCTCGATGGTAGCGACATGAGGCGGCTGGGGAGTGACACACACACACATACCCCTTTAAATGATATTGTACTGTACTATAACACCAGATTATTGACATAAAATTTTAGATATCCAGGGATAATTCCTCAAAGCAACACATTGATCATTTTGCAGTAAAATATCATTATTTGCTATTCTTAAATAAAGGCGCTCGTATAAACTAATGCACAGTCAACACAGATAGTGTACGACTCACCTCTCCCAATCTTTTGGAAATCGAAAAAAAAGAAAGGCTTCTGTTCCTTAATTAGTTGATAGGGTAATCAATAGCTGCACAGTACCGGGGCACCATTGCAGCTGCTATAAAGAAATGCACAAAATAAAAGAAAATTGTAAATTTTTCTTCTTTCCTTGCCTGGTAATTATTTAGTTTACTCTCCAGCCGCTTAACGACGCCACTTTAGGTGACTATGCTCGCCCATACGAGTGCGCTATCCTTCTACAGTATTAGCACCCTTATTCCTTGGTGGGGGCGTACTACTGTGCACCTCCTGGGTGAGTGTGCGGCGAGGGTAGGTGGAGACTGCTGTTGTAACAGTAACTGCAGATAAGAAGACCACTCGTTTGTGGAAACCAAGGTAACTGAAGTACGGTTGTTTCAAAGCAATGCAGGATACAGTAATTATTAAGTTCACGGTGAAGAACAAAAACTAACTGGGTCTAGAAAAGTTTTATTCCACTTCACCCGGAGATAACATCATACCTTTATCCATTCTGTACATAAGTAGGTTTATTGTTACTGTATTTGGCCAAATCTATTGAAAACACTGGCTCTTCATCCCAGGATCGAGACATGGTTTTTCTAGATTTTATTTTATGCTTTACTAGTATGCAGTGGTTTATAATTTCACCACTTATTAGCTTAACTACTATCCATTTGAGCGGTTGGTCTATCTAGTGTTAGTACAGGGGGAAACCTGTGATGTTTGGTAGGGTCACACATCTGTCCGGGCCAAGCATATTGGTGAGAGATAAACACGCTGTGGCACCAACAATGATAACGTTTTCAAAACGCGTCCTTTTGACTTCGTGATTCTCAATACAGAAGTTGAATGTTTTTTTTTTTCATCCCCCCAAGAAAGCTGGTAATTATTGACGACTGACCCACCGACGATTTTTCATCAAAAACGATTTTAAAAATGCCGCAATTTTATTGTGTTTTATAGTTGACACTGTCATAGGTTGTGCAAATGTGTTAGTGTTTTTTCTAAATTAAACTTAACCTAATTTTAGTTGATACAAAAAACATTGTTAAAAGACCTCACCAACCTACCTAACTAACTTCCTAGCTGTGGGGCTCCACCCCCTGGCTTTGGGTCACATATTACGTGCATCTGTAGAGCTTCCTAGTGTTGTCCTTTCCATACACACTTCCAGGTTACAATAGGTCTGGCAGGTTATGGTGCTAATATTTCAGTGCTTATGGAAAGCTCACTGGGAAACATTCGGGTCTCTTAGTGTTCAATCATCTCACCCAATCTTACCAGTACATGTATAATCAAATGCAGCTCAGGAATTTTCGGTTAGGTTTGAGTGGTTTGTGTAATTGCTATTATGAATACTGCATACCTGTACTGTAGTTTATAATAAGTATGACTATTTATCATGCCTGTTAATTAAGTGACAACCACCAAGTTATTTGAATCTAGCTAATAGGTATCCACCATCACTACAACCATTTGAACTCTTATCTCATGCTGATGAATGTTTCCTTTACAGCATGAAGATAACCACAAGTATGTGGTTATGGGCAGCATTCCTAGTGATGCTGGTGGGTGGAGTGCATGCTGACACCCCAGCTAACTGTACCTTTGATGACGTGCGTGGTGACTGGATTATCTATGAAACTGAACGCACTGGACATGCCAACATCGACTGTGATAATATGGGTAATTAAAAGATACTTATATACAATACTTTGTTCTGTGTTTTATGAGTAAGTGCAGTACTGTATATTTTTTGTCTGAGACATGTTCTGTTATACAGTACTAAATCACTTTAAAGACATGTTACTCTCATAGAAGTGCTGTATAAACATTGCAATCCTTTTTCACTTTGTTTAAAATACTGATAGTAATCCACACAGTTCATAATCTGGAACTCTTCGTCCTCCTTTTATGGTGTTTATATGTTGTGGTCACCATATCTTTACTGTATTCTTTTAGTTATCTGTGTGTTTTTCCAACCTGATGTAGCAATATATACAGTACAGTACTTTAGTATCTATTCCATTTATTAACTTTATTCTCCCTCCTTTGGTTAATATTGTACCTTCATTTTTGTTTCAATTCTCTTTTGTATATTTATTTATTTAAAATCACATTCTGGTGTTTTAGTGATCTCTTCATAACATTATTCTCTTAAGAAATACCAATACTGTCTTCCATGTGTTCAACATTGTCCCAGTCATCAATCTCTATTCTTTATTGTAGGTCCCATCGTACATAAGAAGACGGTAAAACTTATGTATCCCAACGTGGCTGTGGACGAGTTTGGTAACCATGGCACTTGGACCATGATCTACAACCAAGGCTTTGAGATTAAAGTCTCTGGGAGGTCATATTTTGCCTTCTCCCTCTATGAAAAGGTTAGAGAATGGTGATTGACCGTTAACTGTTTAGAGGGCAGAGGCGCACTTAGATATTTTGTTCTGGGTAACACCAGATGAATTTATTCAGGCGAGAGAAACCCCTGCCCTCTAAAGGGATAGAACCTATCTCGATTAAGCATTGAGAGGAATATGAATATAACTTTGGAAGGGAGGGAGAGGATGTTCAAGGAAAGACAGTAGTTTACATGTTACTATTGATATGATATATCATTAAAATGTGGAACTGTAGTGCATTTTTCTTTTTATTGCTATTAATATTGTAGCCTATGTAAGCTGTAGATATCAGAGCAGATCTTGCACACCTTGTGTGTAAATGAAAGTGGTTTCCATAGGCATGACTGCCCCTAAGGGGCAGTGTGGATATGGCACATTGTATACAGTACTGCAGTTGATTGCATTCACTTCCCATGTTGTGAACTGAGTGCCCAGGGATTGAACCACTGAACCTGGAATAGGAGGCAAGTGCTATAATCACTCTACTGCTGCGTATACACACAATTCTTTATTTTATTTTTATTTAGAGTGGAGAACAAGTTGTGTCTTATTGTGACAAGACATTGACTGGCTGGTCCAGAGACCTCACCATCAGGAACTGGGCATGTTACAGGGCACAGAAGAAGGAATCGGTAGCACCTAAGAACTACACACTCCAGCACACACTTCAGGTGAGTACTGTACAGTAATATCAAAGGTGTAGTGACTTATTTCTTCAATTAATTTTCTCTTAATTGAGCAAAGTTTTATGAATTGATAATCTGAAGGGTTTCTGCTCGGCTAATTACTACAACTGTTGTAAAAGCACAGCCACTGAAAATATTGTCTATAATTATGTGTAAATATATTAAAAACTGGATTTATGTTCACTGTACAGTATTTAACTTTATACCATTACAATATTGTATAAGATGTTCATGTATTGCATCATCCACAACTATCTCTGGCAGGAACACGCCCTGTACAAGTACAATGAAGCCTTTATTCAGAGCATCAATGGTGCACAGAATAATTGGGTGGCTGATGTATATCCAGAGTACGAGTTGATGACGATGATGGATCACCTTCGGAGAGCTGGTGGCAGGGCGTAAGTACATTTTGCCAGTCATTATTTCCACTGTTAAGTTTGTTAGCCATAATTACTAGATGAAATGCTGTCCCAGTTACCATCAGGTAAATTTGAAGCAAGTTTTACAGGTGGATACTCTTCCTAATGCCAACTCACTTTTATAAAGTGGAAGCTGGGCATTATATCTAGGACTTCCAAATGCCCTCTTAGCTGGCAAGGCAGAGTGGATACTCCATAAGGTAATCAAAGAATGTTATGGAGGTCTTTCAATATTAATACAAAAGTAATTAGAAAAAGTTTGAATGATCATCCTAAATAAAGAGTTTAAAATATAAAGAAAAAGACAATTAGGGATGAGGAAACTCCCGGTACATTTTAGTTCTGTACCGAGATTTATTTTTTAGCTAATTTGTTTCAAGTAAATATCGTTATCATCGGTAAAGAAATTTAGGCTTAAATTTTTATATCAGATTTTAAAGATAAATAAATGAAAAGATACAGGTACATTACTGCACTGTATACCTCCAAGCAAAGTATTTATATCTGCATGACCATAACCTTATTTCTCATTACTGTATTTGACTAACATCAAAACATCTTGCTTTTTGTGGTACTGTACCAGGTCAAAGGTGGTAAGTGGTGCTATTGCAACCCCAGCAAACATCATCACCCGACTGCGTAGTGCAAGGATGCCAGCTACCTGGGACTGGCGTAATGTCTCTGGGATCAGCTATGTGTCTTCTGTCAGGTGAAGAAATGTTCATTGTTCTGCTGTGTTGCCAAAATAAAATTAATTGTTAATGAAGGGAATACTGTGCAGTATTTGTGTATACCTTTTACTGTACAATGGTAAGCAGGTGTCTGTGTTAACAGGAATCAGGCATCCTGTGGGTCATGCTATGCATTTGCCTCCATGGGTGGGTTGGAGGCGGGCGTCAGGATTCTCACAAATAACACCCAGCAGCCAATCTTCTCTCCCCAAGACATTGTGGGGTGCTCACATCTTTCCCAAGGTTGTGATGGAGGCTTCCCCTTTCTCATTGCTGGCAGGTGAGGAAATTTTTATTGTTGAAATGTTTAATTTTGTGCAAGGAAGATAAATTGTTTATACAGTATTTCAAGAAAATATCTCTTGGGAAAGTACAACATCCGTAATATTCCATGTAGTTAAAAACTTTTGTTGGAGCAAATCACAGTTGCTGTTACTATTAAGTTTTTACATGTTTTTTTAGCCTATGACCTGATTTTCTTTAATGTTACCACTTTTTTCAGGCACAAGTCTGCTCTAGTTCTCTATAATGTCACCACTAATTTTCTGTAATGTGTCACTACATGTGGTGTTGGCTGTCATTGCTTGTAGCACACTATTTTGCAGGGTTTTTTTTTTACGTAAAACAAATTAATAAAAGTTTTCATTTAAATCAGAGTTATTTGAATTTTTGTCCAAGTTCAAGACACACTGAAACAATTAAAAAAGATCCTTTTTATTACTATAAGTTCCTGTAGCACAAATAACAATTAAAGCAAACTATTGTATTAGCTACACAGTATAAACAGTTAAGTCATATTCAAAATTGAATTAGAAATGTGAAGTTCTTTAAAACTGCAAATCTGACTATGATGACATCAAAGTTGTCTGGAGACATTGCACTGCATATTACTAGAAATCAGTTACCCTACAAGTTTGTCTGAGGTGTATTACACAAAATATTACTTGAATCACGTAACACTACTGTAGGCTGTGGCACCTTATTCATGTTGGCTGTGTATCTTACACCATAGATTTTCAAGTGCATATTATGCTGTTTATTATTTACCAGATATTTTGCTAAATGTTATTGGTCATTGTTGTACAACCAGGTATGCTCAGGATGTGGGCGTAGTGTTGGAAGAGTGTTCACCTTATGAAGGAAAGGATGATGTGTGTCGTACCAACCCAAATTGTGTCCGCCATTACACTGCTAATTACCGCTATGTTGGTGGTAAGTTCTACTAAAGTATTGCTTCAGGACAGATTTAGTACCTGACTACATGTCCATATATATCCATGAACATATAATTCAGACAATTTATGCATTTATTACAGTTCAAGAATGACTAAAACAAGAGCAAGATGTAAAATTTGTTGTTGCTGTTTTTGAAATATTCTCTAGCTTCAGTTGGTGGTGAAGGAAACACGACCAGGAGATGGAGCATTATTCTGGACATTTCGTCACAAGACTTTATCAAAGTCTTGTGACGAAACATCAGGGAATAAAGCTCCACTTCTTAATCACGTTTCCTTCACCACCACACTACCATCTGTTCTCTATCTTCCATCATTTCTCATAAGCACATTCCCTTCCCTAACAGTGCTTCCATGGACAAGCACATGTACTGTAATTTCTACTAGATCCCATGTTTATTAAAATCAGTCAGTTGTTCATCAATAATAATAAAGGTTTTACAACTAACAGGTTACTTTGGTGGATGTAATGAAGAGGAGATGAAGATAGCACTGGTGAGGGGTGGCCCACTTGTGGTTGGTTTAGAAGTTTATGATGACTTCCTTCACTACAGAGGTGGAATTTACCACCACACTGGACTCAACGACAAGTTCAACCCACTAGAGGTCAGGATAAATACCATGAGGAATATATGTTATTTCTGCACTTGATCTTATTGATATACTACATGGCTTTTCTTATACTGTACACAGTACTCACTTATACAAGGTTCAGCATGGTGGACAAATGGGCCTAGAATGTATGATTCCCACCATATGACCCTCCCTTCCCTGAACTTTGGGTTTTAGTAGGGTTGCCATACGTCCGTATTTTCCCGGACATGTCCTCCATTTAGGTCTCGAAATCTTCATCCGGAAGGAATTTTTAAAATTCTTCAAAAGTCCGTTATTTCAGCTTCCATCATTTTCTCCACGGAAAAAAAACATGAAACTGTAATGACGGGAGAGGGAGGGAAGGTGGAAACTGTAGAGATCTCGTTCAGTTTTTGTCAGCTAATAAGTCACGTGTACGCCTGTACGGTGTTGTCAACTTAGCTGTCAAATATTTGATTGATAAGGGGGTAGAAGTTTATGAAGTGTTTTGACCAAGTTAATAACCTGAAGCAGTTTGTGGAAAATTACAAGAGTGATGAAGAATTTAGTAATCTGCCAACACATAAAAAGTGGACCAGATACTTTGAAAAATCAAAGAACATTGAATGCCACTCAGAATTGAACAATTCTTCTTTGCTATATCATCTCACAATGCAAATGTAGAAAGAGTTTTTTCACTGATGCAAAGTCAATGGACAAAGGAAAGGAACAAATTGAGTGTTGAAACAATGAAAGGCATTCTGACCGTACAGTACAACTTCCGAGAAACACCTTGCAGTGACTTCTATACCTTTCTAAAGAGCAATCAACCAATACTGAAAAAGATCTGATCTACAGAAAAGTATGCATAGGCACATCAAGTCACACACACAGTGGGGGAAGAAGACTGCAGCTAAGGGAATGAAGATGTTCAGCCTTAAGCAAAGGTAATTTTTTTTTTTAAGATTTCTATACCATGTATGTTGTATATTAGCCTGTGTGTGCAGGGGGGGGGGGATTTTGGGAGTGTCCTCTTTTTTGAATGTTCAGATATGGCAACCCTAGTTTTAGTGAATACTGTGCAGACAAACTCAGCACTGACGCTGAGGAAGTGGCCATGTCTATTAACAAGTCAAACCAGGGCCACAATTATAGCTATTTCTTGTTGAACACAACAAAAAGTACAGTATCTTCAGAAGAGTATTGGAGTGATGGGGACATTTATCTAAAGTGTGTTATGTTTACACTGGTTAGTTGATAAGATCTACAGTATGTTTCATGTAGCCTAGAACCTAATTCCCTATTTCTCAAAGGCCCAAGGTATGTTTTTCTGTAAATTCAGTTGTATGCAATTTTTTTTTTTTGGAACTTAACCACCATGTAATCTGAGTGTTGACTATCTTTTTGTCTGTTATGATTTTATTTTTTTTTATCATATTTTACTGAAATCTGAAGTACTGTAGTGAAATTTGCTATGCATAACCTCTGCTAATCCACACAAGTGTGGAAAATGGTCGTAAAACGATGATGGTATATACATTTTGTGCCAAGGGTTTATTATGGGTAATATCTATGCGCTTAAAAATTCATTATAGGTCTCATGATCCAGTTGTCATCAGCCATGTTTAAGCAAGGTTTACGGCTGGAGGCCAACCCACAGGTTGGGAAAAGCTGATGAGGCAGGATCACAACTATAAGTGAGAAAATTAAAATCATTACTAAGGAAATCACTATGCAGATGAAAATATTTAGAAAGAGTTGATGGTTTGTGAATTTTGCTTTGGTGATATGTGTTAGGTACTCTCCTTTTCTACACCTTGATATTTTCACCATGTCATCAATTTTTCACAAAGTAATTTGTTGCCGTGTTCATCTGAATTTAAAATTTGTCTTACAGTTGACAAACCATGCAGTGCTGCTGGTGGGATATGGAGCAGATGAAGAAACCGGAGAAAAATTCTGGATCGTAAAGAACTCCTGGGGTGAGAACTGGGGTGAGGATGGCTACTTCAAGATACGAAGGAGTACTGATGAGTGTGCTATTGAGTCTATGGCTGTTGAGGTTGTTCCTATCCCTTGAATTCTAGCTTGCAGAATGGGAATAGAAAATTATAAGAAAACTAAATTCAATAAATTGTTTAGGGAAATATGGAAGAAAACAAGTTTTAAAAAGAGAATGTGTGAAAATATTTACCTGTATTAATTCTCAACACTTTACTACGATTGTGACAAAGATTAGGTGAATGGTAGCAAAGAGGAGAGACTGGTAAACAAAGGGGATAAAGAATGTGATAACTGGGAGTAGCTTGAGTGAGTACAGATGACTTTGCATATAAAAGTTAATTAAATGTATTATTGGGTAGAAAAATAGCATGCACAAAATACAGAGAAAATAAAACTTCAAAATAATGTATAAGAATAAATCGGAAGAACAAGTGGCTAATGGTTTTGAAATCAAGTGGTACAAAGAACTGTTCTATAGAGGAGAATTTAGGAAAGATTTGATGTATTAAAAGAAAGTGATGATTAGTTATGGATGAAAGTAGAAATTCGTAGGTGAAGTTAATGAAAAATTTAATATTGTGGAGTATAGGGAATCACTATTGTATTGTAAGGAATGCCTACATAGGCCAAATGCTGTATATTTGTTGGGTTATGATGTTGAGACATTGAAGTGTGATACTAAAAGTTTATTTTTTCTGTTAGTTGCAGCAATAGTGACTTGTAGTTTACCTCTCCATATATACAGTACTGTACCTATATATTTTTTCACTTCATGTTTTCATGTACTTAAGGTGTAAGCTTTTATTATAATAAAATAAATTTAAAATATACTTTTTTTTCTTACACATTCTGCCTTGAACAATGCAGTGTACCCAGTACTCTGTTACTTACAGAAGGGAGCAAAGCACTTTTCCAGGTACTATAATGTACAATACTCCCTCGTTTTTTGCGGGGATTACATTCCTGATGTTGCCATGTAATATTCAATATTATAACCTATCCCAAATCACTTGTATGGCCCTAAATGTGTTTCTAATGATTTTTAAACCTCTTTCCCTCTCACATAACATTAAATAACATGTAAAGACAACAAAAGAAAGATGCAAATAAAAATTATTATATATATTGCATACCTACACATGGAATACTGTACTCACCAGCCCAGTTATGTTGTTCCATCCACTTGATCCTACCTCCCAACTCTCCCTCTGGTACATCACAGCAAATGATGATTAATCTGTAGTGAACTGTCGATTCATCCATCCCATATGCTCTCGCGCATGCCGCTCTGAAGTTTCTTTATTATTTCGACTTTTTCGACTTAAAAGTCAATAATTTTCCATCTCTCTTAGGCTTCTCTGATGAATTACCGCCCTTGTTACTACCTTTACAAGGATGTTTTGGAGCCATGAAGAGATTCTACGAGCACAAAACACACGGGTCACATTGAGGTGAATACACATTACGGTGAGTGAGACAGGAGAGGCAGGAAGGTGTGCTCTGCGATAGTGACACCTGGTGGTTTCTTGTGGAAACTCATTCGTACATGCAATTCGACTGCATATGAAATTACTAATACCTGTTGCAATGAAAATCTACAAAACATGAGGGTGCACTGTATTGTGAACTTTACAGGGGAAATATATACTGTATACATTGGAATCATTTAATGCAATATAAATATACAGGAAGTCCCTGACTCGTGAATGGGTTATGTTCATGGACCTTGTTCAAAAGTCGCTCTGTTTGTAACCCAAAACTGTGTTAATTCCATAAGTTAGGTTAAAAAACACAACCCATATATATATATATATATATATATATATATATATATATATATATATATGCAGGGTTGTGTTTTTTAACCTAACTTATGGAATTAACACTGTTTTGGGTTACAAACAGTATATATATATGCTTGACAAATAATGTAAGAACAGTACATTAAATGCCTTTGGATCAACCCTTTATTCATTCATTCTCCATACATAAGCCAAGAGACAAACCCTGACTGCATAATTATTATTTAATGCTGACCAACAATTATACAACTAGTGAATTAGCTTACAATAATTTTCCCTTTCCCTTTTATTAGCTTCTTTCCTTTCTCTTCTATTTGTCTTGTCTAATATCACAGAATGCGTATTTCTTTGGGCAGCATTGCTAAATTGCAACTGTAAGTTTGGTGTTGTGTGGCCATTCTCAATTAGTTCAGTTTATCTTTACTGCTTGTATTGTATGTTCCTACACGCATTTTGTCCTAGCACAACCACCACTTGCACTCACCACTGATGAAAGAGTACTCCCAGTACTGAACACAAGAAAACCACAGAAATAGTGCCACAGTACACAGCCTCTCCCTTTCTGACACTGCCAATACAGTACTGTACTTCACATTTAATATGATAATAACTATGGTAAATAATATGTGAGAATGGAACATAATCTGTTTCTAACTATTGCAGGTTTGCTTTAATTTGATGAATTTTGCAGGTTGCTCCCACCTGTAGGAAGAAATATATAAAACTGAGTTTCTCTTATGGAAGTAACGAAGAATATTAAATAAGTACAGCAAGTGGCACCGGTGCTGAGCCACTCATCAGTACCTACAGACAGTTTTAATTTGTAATGTTTTTGGTTATAAATCTGTTTTATTATCTTTTTTCCATGTACTGTACTGTATCTGTTTGTAAATGACTTCTCTATAATCATATTTATACTAAATTTAGTACCACCATTACAAAGCAAAATTGTAAAGCACCATAACAAAGATTTACACATATATTTTTAAAATTTCTGACATTTCTGTTTGTATATTATTTACAGGTATCTATACACAGGTGTGTTTGTAAATCTTTCCACTACCATACTGAATAAAAATAAATTTAATTATGCCCCACCAGTACAACAGCTACTCATTGTTATAAAAAAATAAATAATTGTGAGTCTTTTACAAGAGCAATAAGAAAGGGGTCAGCTAAGAAAGGTGAAGAATACGAGTGAAGAGTTAACCTGAAAAGACAGTACAGTATAGAGATGCATAAGGTCTTTATGTATAGCAAACTTTGAGTAACCCAATCTATTAAATAGTGGAAGATTGCATTCTGCCTATTATATTAATTTGATGAACTAGTTTAGAAGAATACCAAAGATAACCAAATATATGTAAGATCTTTTGGGATTTTTTTTTAACATACCAATCAGAGAAGATCTTGTTGACTACAGTGAGACTCTGGAACCCCTCGGCAAGTTTCTGCTGCAAGTTCTCTGTCTGCTGAGACACTTCTTCATGCAGCTTCCTGTCACTTTCTTCTACACGATTAATCAACTCTGAAATGTTACTACAGTGCTGTACTGTATGGTAATGATATCCTACAAGTAAAAAAATTACATTATACTAGTATACTGTAGTACTGGTAATTCATCAAACTCAATGTAATTACGATGAACCAACATAAAACTTGTGTAATGTGACTATATGCAGTAAAACAAAGCTCCTCCTCCTTAATATACCAACTGAAATTTTTATCATTGGATAAATTATTCTCTGTTAACTTGAAAGTAGTGTTAAAGTTATCTATGATTAACACAGATACATAATTAACTCTGAATCTTAAGCTGATAGATTTATCCTTTGAGTCTGATCTGATCCAATTCTACCATTAAAGCAAACAACTGGGCTAACATTTCCAACCTGAGGGAGATTATAAACTGTAAATTCTTACTTCTTATCCTCATCATACTTTTCCCCAAGATAAAAACATCTAATGAAGCTAAAACAAGTTACATTCTTATAACTAGACTTCCCTACACATGGTACACTACAAGATAACATTATGCATTAAACATATTCAGTTTTATGACTGACCTTTCATTTCTTGACCGGTGAGAAACTGGGTATTTTTCTGAGCACTGTGTATGGCCTCTCTGACAGTTTCTAGTCGTCCTATCTGGTTGTGAAAGTAGTTTGTTAGATTTAATTGCTCACAAACAGTATTATAGATGCCATCCCAACAATGCAATCCACTACCAAGTTGAGAAACGGCTTTCCAACCTGCTTCAGCAACAGCCGTGTCATACCATACAAGTGAACACGTTGACATCTTTGCTTTCTGCCGCAGCTCAGACCTGTCAAGGAAAAGTATCTTCTTACAACTTACTGAAAAATGCTTTCTTTCACATTCATATGCACTTCAACATAAATACACACTGGCAAGCATCATATAATTTTATCTCCTTTGAGTCTTAATTTGGGTTATGATACAGTATTATTAAATACTGATTAAGTCAAATTAGCTCCTAATTCCATATTTCTCATTTCTGAGATGAGTTAACACAGTTTAAGACATTCTAATACCGTACCACACTTCATTTTCTCACCTTGATATACTCGTATGTTACAAACTTGTTTCAGTTGTAACCTCAGTTAAGACCCTAATACTGTATGCTATCCTTTCATCACTTAAAACAAAAAGTTCTTCAATTGGTAGTTTCCTCCCTCAATATACAAAACTAACACCAGATAGTTTTACATCCCATAAATAAGGTGACATACCCTCTTAACAGGGCATAATTTAAATATAAATAATATATATTTAAATGGGATGTAACCAATCACAAAAATAAATCAACATAACACTAGTATTGGGTAGTTCTCAACTGGGTGTTCACTGTTGTGGAGTCTACAAAGAAAGATTTAATGGGCTCAATAGGGATTCTTATAAGAAACTAAAGCAGGGTAGTCACATGAAAATGTAATCTTTTAGGCCAGTTATCAATAATATCTGTTAGTTGGGCAGCCCAATTATCATATACAATTGAATTAACTAAGCCCACTTACCCATCAATGTTGGTTGTGAGAAGATAGGCTAATGGAACTGCTGTAAATGCTTCACATTCATTGCCCAAAGAATTTGGAGAAACAGGAGTTGGGTAAATAGTGGATGATAAGGTCTTGTTAATGGAATATTTAAGCTGTACTAACTGATCCTTGATGCTAGGCCAGCCACCACGCACACTTGTTGCCAGGCACTGAATACTCTCCACTCTGTCTTGCTGAAAGGGACAAATGATAAAATATGTATCTGAAATTCTGGCAAATGGCATAAATACACCATACATAATGCTTTTTACTTGTAAAAATATATTAGTTCAATGTAATATTACAGTGAATGTACAGTCAACCCTCGCTTTACGCGGTCCCACTTCACGCGTTTCCACGTTTACGCGGTACCCTGCCGAACACGGAATGCTCACTTTCCGCGGTGTGTGTACCCTTTTACGCGGAGAGCGGCGCGAGCAGGGTGCAAGGTCGCCCAGTCATCAAAACATTACCGAGTTCTTCACCCGCCACCCACCACAGCCGGCCCAAGTCAGTGATAGTGATAATGATAGTGAGGATATGGACTTATATGGACTTTGACAAAGAGGCCCTGCAAACCTCTGTGGTGGATAGTGATACAATTGATATAAGTGATACAGGTGAGGGCCAATAATAATCTGCCCTCTGCCTCGGAACCATCCCCCCATCCCCGTGTGCCCAGCCATCTTTTCTACTAATGTAAGTGTTAAAAAACCTAATATTATTGATATTTCTCTTAATTATTAATTGCGTGTGCATACCATCATAAAATTAATTAGTTATTTTTACTACAACGTAGGTATTGTGTCTGAAAAAGTGGAGTTTGGGGGTTGGCCCGGTCTCTATTTCAATTAATCCCATATGTTATGCTGTTCACTTTACGCGTTTCTCACTTTACGCGGGCCGCCGTGGGTTCAATTGACCGCGTAAAGTGAGGGTTCACTGTACAGTATATATAATTTTTGCTCTTGAAAATTATTTCTCACTATACTGTACAGTACTACACTGCAGGGTCGGAAGATCAGAGAGTCAACACAGATGCTCTCTTACTAATACAGCCATAAGTATATTAAAACTATCTACAGTACTAGCTTCATCAGAAATCATATCTCATGACTACTGCAAATGAATTCCCTCGTTTCTTCAAGTATAATAAAAACATCACACTTACAACTTCCCTTTTCACATTTCAATTATTTCCAGCATTTCGTGACCTGAGTCAACACCTTAATACAGTACCTGTACTTGAGGGAAATTCTGCATGTCAGTTTAGCTTTTAATGAAGAAAAAACTAAAGCTTGTACAGTACTTACAACTTCTTTTTCAAAGCTCATTATCTTGGCATGCTTGGCCCTCAGAGCGTCACGTGCCCGAGCAGCAGTATCAGCACGTTCTTGAAGGGAAGCAGTGAGTGTGTGGGCTGCGTTGAGAGCTGCACGCTCACCCACCACTGCTATGTTAGCATTTACCACATCAATTACTGCAGCAGCAACAGCTTCATCACAATAGGTGCGCTGAGAAAACAGTGTTTATATATCACAATTTGAAAATACAATATGCTAATTTTAATGCACACACACATTATCTAATATGGATCCCCTTAAACTATTTTGGAATTCCTAGATACTCTAATTTTGTTAAGTACCATATGTGTCTTTGTAAGACAAATTTACCCATATTTTGTAAATAACATAGAGAATGAAAAGACACCAGATAAAACAGACCCAATTTTACATAACCTTCAACCGTAATCAAATGTCTACAGTTTTATTACTTTTCCACAACCTTGTACTCAGGCTCAGTGACTTCTCAAACCCCCTCTTTAGCTATAGTGCAGGGTGGCTGGTACAGTATCAAGAGCAAACATAGACCCTCCCTTCATTTAATGTCAACCCTTTATTCTTAATGTGGAAACAGTCACATTCTGTTCTGATGATCCCCTTCTATAAAAAGGCTCTAAATATTCATCAGATTTACCCCCAGATGCTTCATACAATGTAGCATTACCCATTATAACATATCCGTCCCCACACATCACTTAATGTCAGGCTCTCTGGTCATGCAGACACCATTTGGTTATATGTAGAAATATCATAAATATAAATTAATCTACATGCAATTGTGATACCAAGACAATAAAGTGTTTTAAACTTTTATGTACAGTATGTTGAGTCCTTAGAGATGATACCCCTAAAGTAATATATTGTCAAAAGCTGTATGTGGAACACATGATAACAATGTTGGTCTCCATGTACAAACTGGGTCTTACCTTAGCAACAGCAGATATATTTTTGTTTAGTGTGTTGAGTGCTCGAGTTAGAGATGAAGCTGCCTGATCCGCTCGATGTGCTTCCACATATAGTTTAACATGGGCTGCACTCATCTGTCCAAGGAGCTCACGTACAGATTCTATTACTCCTCCTGGGTTCATCTCATCAATAAATGATCCATCACTTTCACACTTCAATCTAAACATCAGAGAATAACAATAACAATTAATATTACAGTCGGCCCTTAACATACGCGGGTTTATAATACACGGATTTGCAAATACGCGGATTGCCCAGCCGGAGGAATATTCTGTACATTGAAGTAATTGAAGTACATTCAAATTGCGCGCCATTCAACTCGCGCGCGGCACCGAGCATGGGACACCACCCGCTCCCGCAACCTCACACACACACGCATAGCTCTCCCTCACTCAGTCATTCTCGCTGTAACCACGCTTGTGTTGACATCAGCATTGTAGTTGCAAAAATATTACATTTCTGTGAATGTATTATATCAAGCACAGTATGAATAGAATATCACTAATATAAGAGTATTTTAACCGAAAACTACTAAAAAAACGAGTAACATATCTTGAACATCGGAAGGTTAGGTAAAGTCTTTTGTTTTCATGTAGTTTATCCTAATTTACATTGAAATGCATTACGTTTCAGCAAAACTGCTATTTATTTCTGAGAATATGGAAATGTAATATTTTGCTGAAATGACGTATGTATTACAGCGGAAAGTGACGAAAGCAATGACTCGCTTTCTTTCGTTCAAAAGATGTTACCGTAATCGCTTTTCGAATGGTTTTCAGTTAAAAAACTGTTGTATTACAATAATATCCTATCCTAATTCACTAGTGATGCAACAGTTTTTTTAACTGAAAACCATTCGAAAAGCGATTACGGTAACATCTTTTGAATGAAAGAAAGCGAGTCATTGTTTTCGTCACAATTTTATCCCACTTTCCACTGTAATACGTACGTCATTTCAGCAAAAATATTACATTTCCGTGAATGTAGTATATCAAGCACAGTATGAAGATAATATCATTGTAATATAACAGTATTTTAACCGAAAACTATTAAAAAACGAGTAACATCTCTTGAACATTGGAAGGTTAGGTAAAGTCTTTTGTTTTCGTCATGTATTTTATCCTATTTTACATTGAAATACAGCACGTTTCAGCAAAACTACTATTTATTTCTGAGAATATATTCATTCAGGCACAGTTTAGGTAAAATATACATGTGCTGTAACATTTTTTTAATTGAAAACGATTCGAAAAACACGTACCCTCTAGCCCTGTTCAAGGAGAAGACTGGGAGGAGCTGTTTGGTGCTGAAGACGATGACAAGGAAAATGATTTTGATGGATCTTAATGAAAATATTCAGAAAGACCCTGGCACTGTCAAGAAAAGTGGCTGCTGAAGGCTTCCAGGACATGGCAGAGGACGAGATTAGGGAGCTAATTGAAGAGCACGACACTGAGCTGACCGAGGAGGATCTACAAGAGTTAGTAGACTCAGGCAAGGAAGAGGAAGCGAAAGGGAAAGAGGAAGAGGAAGAGCACCAAGAAATAACGTTGGAGAAGTTGGGGGAGATGACCAGGAATATTGAGGCACTGAAAAACCTGGCCTATAGTATGGACCCCTCCATGGTGCGTGCCCTGAAATTCATGCGAGGGATGGATGACGTTTTTGCTCCATACAAAAACATCGTGGAAGAAATGAATGAAAGAGACGACAACTCCCCATCACCATGTTCTTTGATCACCGAAGGAGAGATTTAACACCATCAATCACTGGCGGCAGTGAGGAAGCAGCTGAATCCACCGTCGCCCCCACTTCACCACCCGTTATGGAATTGAGTGACGATGAGCCCGATGACCCCCGTCCTGTCGCCGAGGATAGGAACTGTACAGTAAAGTGAAATTTTTATCTATTTTTTTTTTAATAGCTTTTCTTGCCATGTTTATTGTTTGTAAAAATGCACAGCACAGTACAGTTCAGTACTGTACATAGGAAGTGGAGGTGCAGTTATTCACAAAACATTTGTGTTTGTTGTCGGCAGTAGTGACGGTGAGGAGGTGGAGGAGGCGGAGAAGGGAGCGAGTTGGGAGGAGTGGTGACCTTGGACGCGGGAGCAGGGACGAGATGCCAGCCAGTACATTACGGGTGTATTAATTGTTTTTATAGCTATTTTTGCATTTTAATATTAAATACTGTACATTACGTTTCAACAAAACTACCATTTATTTCTGAGAACATGGAAATGTAATATTTTTGCTGAAATGATGTACATATTACAGTGGAAAGTGGGATAAAATTGTGACAAAAGCAATGACTTTCTCTTTCTTTCGTTCAAAAGATGTTACAGTAATCGCTTTTCGAATGGTTTTCAGTTGTGGGATTATAAGGCTAATGATAGGATAGAATATTATTGTAATACAGTTTTCGTCTGATTTTATCCCACTTTCCACTGTAATATGTTCGTCATTCCAGCAAAAATATTACATTTCTATATTTATTTCTGAGAATACGTATATTCATTCAGTCACAGTTAAGGCAAAATATACTTGTGATGTAATATTTTAATGAAAATACGGTATCGTAGTTTTCTTTTGTTTCAAATTTAATTAACAAAGATTGATGTTTCAAATGTAATGAACAAAAATTTATGTCCAGTATCTATAAATAAACTTTAATAAATGAATACTTTATGTTTTACATCGTCCTGTGCTACCATACCATGGATTTGGCTACTTTGGGCTTGCTATGATGACGCAAGAGATCTGCCCTGGCAACTGTACCGACACTCACAGCTGGTGGTGCGTTGGTGCATCGTTTCCATTGTTTACTGGTAGTTACTGGTAAATATTTTTCAACCTAACGAAACTATTACCCTTTTAGAGGTCGACCCCCAATTTTTTGCCAAATAATTTGGTCTTAAAAACTCGAACTACACACAAGTATATACGGTAAATAAGGACATGGGGGCCAGGGTTTTTTTTTGTGTGTGGGGCAGCACATATACGCAGATTTTTAACATCCACGGCTATCTCTGTTACGTAACCCCCACGTATGTTAAGGGCCGACTGTATTAGAGCATTATCATCATTACCATTGTAAATACAGTATCAACAACTACAGGCATTCTCTGATTAACAAGAAGGTTCCATTCCTTTAAATCTCTAATGAATCTATTTTTCATAAAGATTTGGCCGTGGACTACTGCACCACCCTCGCCATCGCCACCTCCTGCCACCTGCAGCCCCCCACAACTCGCGCAGTCCGCCACTATAACAAAATTCAGCCCATAAGAGCCCGCACCGATAGATATAAGAACAGCACCATCCCATCTATTGTTAAAATAATAAACAACTCCTGATTTATGTACTGTACAGCCCTGTAAATGTATTCAATGCATATTATATTATTATGTCTAAATCAAATGTACCGGTAAGTCTGTATATTTTCAGCCACCGGCTGCAACTCTATTAATAAACCGTTTATTATTATTATTATTATTATTATTTATTATTAAATCAGACCACACTTTTCCAGACTCCCATTATAAAAACTGAGATACTATTCAGTGTACATAAAAAAAAAAAAAAAAAAAAAACATTGGTTCTCAGAAAATAACTACCTGTATTGTAACTCGTGCCTAGAAGCTCGCTAGCACGCTACCTAACAGTTCACAAAGATATGTTATATTCTAATAAAAGTCTGGGTGATGGCAGGCTACCTTTGTAAGTAATAAGTGTTATAATAATAATGACATGGTTTCTCAGACTAATCCATGGTTTAGAATATAACTAGAACAAAATATAATTGAGAGAAAGTAAGGATATAAAATTCAGGAAATACAATAATATATATGAAAAAAAGAAATGAAGTAAAGAAAAGAATATTGACTTAGAAAATATAAGCAAAGAAATATAAGATATATACTTATAGAACGAAAGACATAGAATATGAAATTATTAAACTATGTACACCAGAAAAGATTAATATAAAAGATAGATATGAGCAAGAATATAAGTATATAAGAATAAATGTATGAAAAAGTATAAGGAGGAAAAGCGGCACATTACAATGCTACTAAAGACAGTTACATCATTTGATAGATATACTGTAGGTGCTTCATTAATAACTTTACCTTAGTTCACGTGCATCTCTTGCTAGGTCAACGTACTGAACTCTGGAGTGAAGACTACGTGTGCCTTCACGCACTTCACTTAACATGACATCAAGGAGCATCCTCGGGTCCCAGTCCTCCACTGAATTACCAATGTGCTCCCACAAACATAGCTGCAGAAAAACAATTATTTTCAGATATTTTTCCTGCTCTTTATTTTAAGACAAATTAATTTTGACACAAAAATTTAGAAGTGGAAAGTAATAGGGAGAGGATAAGACAAAGAGGGATGGAGTGAATGGTACACTAGAAATGAGGGTTATATTTGTCCAGGAAGAAGCTGTGTGTGAATGAGCGGAGTACATGCACGGCACCGAGTGTTTTGGGGGAAAGGACGAGCTGTTGGTGCAGGATGCTGGCTTGTGTGAAGCAACAAGGGTAGACCAGATTTAGGACCTATTAAGTAAGGAACATACCACTTCAAAACACTCTTTAAAGCAGTAAGAATGAACAAATGATTGACATTGAATAAAGGTGTATGTGTGAGTACAATATTTGTTTTTGTTGCCAAGTACCCTGCAATACATAGGAAATGGCTTGAAAGTGTAAAAAAAAAAAAAAAAAAAAAAAATCATTTGTCAGTAACATTACTGTACCTTTTGTTGGTGGATGTAATCTGGAGACATCAGACGACCAGTGATGATTGAGTGATGGAATTTTTCTAAATCTAACAGACTGCCTCGCAGCTGTTGCTGTTCAGCAAAAAAAATTTTTTTTATTAGAATAAAAATTATAGTAACAGACATTTTCTTTAAACTAGTTAATACAGAAACCTTTAATGGATGGCAAAACACTTAAATTTCATGAACTGATGAAGTAACTACGTACAGTCTCTCCTCGACTTACAATGGGGTTCCGTCCCGACGACCAGGTCGTAAGTCAAAAAGGCGAAAATAATACATAGAAATTGTAAAATGGGTGTCTCTTTTTCTTCTTAGCACCACGTGAACTCTCACGTTTATGCTTGCCAGCCATTTTAAAGGGAATTACAAACGAAAATTTTGTCAGTACACAGAGCGATCACTAACGTTAGGACTCAAAAATATGTAATGTGAAAAATATTTTAAACGACCATGGCAGTCGTATGTCCAGGTTGTCGTAAGTCGAATATGTCATAAGTCGAGGAGAGACTGTACTTACAGTATCTTAAAGAGTGTCACATTGGAGCAGTGATTATAAAAATATTATGTGGTACAGTACTGTACTGTACAGGTACCGGACCATTAAGCCAGCAAGCTTGAAACTTGAGGTGAACTCTGGTTTCCTGGATTTGGCAGATTTCTGGTCCTAAGACTAGTATATACAGGTACAGTACAGTATAAGCTATGGGACCATTTAAGAGGTTGAAAACCTAGGTTTCATTATGCTTTAACTGTGTGACTGCAGCTAACTCAGAACAATTCTAAAACAGCCTTATGGTTCTGAAAACAATACTAAATTAGTTGAGTGTTCCTGAAACAACCATAGTTTCCCAAAGGGAGTGTTATGAGGCATTTCTTACCACAAAGGGTGGAAAGGTCTCAGTGTGCCTTAAGTTTAACTGATAACTTAATTTACTCATACACATATTAACAGTATTAAATGATAACCTTTATTATTTTACCTGTAAAGCCATGTCAGTTCTGGAAGTTTTCTGACCCTTTTTAGAAGAAATAGTTTCTGCTAAATTACAGAGTTGAGAGTTCCATAACTGGCAGTGATGGATCTCCCGCTCTCTCTCCTCCTGTACCACCTTTAAAAGCATTATTCGACGTTGCACTTCCACTCGTCTCTGATGAAGTTCCTCTTTTTTCTGGCCTGCCAATGAAAAAAATTATCATAATACAGTACAGTACTAATAAACTGTATAAATAGTATCTGTACTATACTGTACACTGAAGCATAAAGTTTAAGTACAGTCAGCCGCAGGAATCAGTACGTACACACCTATGGTTCGTGCTTGGAACAAACTATCTGGTAACACTGTCCCGAAGAGAACTGATAAAATTACAAAATGACCAGTAATTTATGTTTTATATTTATTGTACATATATGCTATGAATATTTAAATAGTGTCTTGTGATTACATTACAAGTAATATATATTGTATACAAATAGGATTACAGTTATCTCAAAGCTCCCTCTCCTGTCCCTCCTCTACTTCTCTCTCCCCGCCTTCAACATTCTCCTTCTCGACCTTCAATCCTAGCCAGCATACAGTATAAACGAGAAAAGTGGAGGATTGAATATTTTTGTTATTTATACTTATTTTCATCACTTTTTTACTACAGTACAGTATTTACATTCACTAATAATTTTCTTTTATAACACACTCTTCCAAATTCATTCACTAACACTACAATTTTTTCCTCCAAACACCCCACTAAAGTATAGCAGTGCCATCTACAAGAGCTGCTCACTCACTCCCACTTGCATCCTGTACCATATTATTTGCCAAACTTGTACTTTTTTCCATGCATGCAACCCTTTTCCTTCTATGTTTCAGGGTGACTGGACAAGTGGTGATCTTTGGTTCTTAGTACAAGGGGGGGGGGGGTAATCAGCAACTAGTAGGGTACAGTATCACATGTTACAAGATTCCAGTCAATCAAAGGGCTGTTCCACCATAAGCAAGTTCAACCAAAAATAAATCATTGCTGAGTGAGAAATTATACCCGGGATCTTCAGTATATATAGTGAATACTTTACCACTCTGCTTGGAAAGACTAATGCTTGAATATTTATGAATTTCTTTAATTTTAGGGGGAGTCAATTAGTAGGTGAAATCTTAACGCAATATATTAAAATAACGTAAAGGGAAGGTCATGAAAGGTGCCATAAAACCAAGTAGATTCTAATTTACAAAAAACAAACACCAAAGTTATCACAAAATGCAAGCTGAAGTTTAGAAATTTGTGTCTATTGCACTGCAAGTTTTCTGAATTTAGAAATATTCACACTACTCCAGTACTGCATCAAACATCTACTTACTGAGTTGCTGTATCTCCTTCACCTCTGCTGCCAAAGTTGCCCTTGTCTCCACGATAGCAGCTTTAAGTCTAAATATCTCCTCTGATGGCAACAATTCCCTTTCATCTTCTCTTAGATGCTGTATAAGAGATTTCAACATCAAAATTCAGAAATTTATAAAGAGACACCTAGTAAATATAATGACAAAGGTTTTATGTAAAAAAGTTAAAAGTATATTTGATGAAAAAGCGTGGGAGGCAAACATTTATTGCAAAACTTCATATGAATGTACAGGGTGTCTCGAAAGTCCTGCTCCAGTTTCAAAATTTTATTGCAACAAAACCACAAATGATAGAATTACACTATGCAGTTTTTTTGCATCTTGTTGCTTAAATATTGAATTTTTTTCTTAATTTTAATTTGAATCTCAGAGATCAACTGCTGACAACAGAAACCTGAATGAAGACGGCGAATTGGCGACTGCACAGGAAAAGCTTAATTTGACATATACTGTAGTTGGCAAAATTACAATCACTCATTATTTTACAACTTCCACACTGGAGTTTGAGCATAGCCTCCTTGATGAGAGTTTCCCTGGCAGATGGACTGGACATGATTGGCCCCCCACTGTCTCATGATATTATGCCCCCAGACTAATTCTTGTGAGATTTGGATTACTGCATGCCAAGGATTATATTTTCCAGACCCCTGTTGCTGACAGTGAAACACTTGATACCAGGATAACCAAGGGCATCAGAGCAGTGATGAAGAATATGTAATTTAACACATGGACTAAGTGGAGTATCAGTTGAATGTGCTCATCCATCAGTTCACTAATGGTGCACAACTGCACATGTTGAGATGCAATGAACAACAACTAAAACTCAATTTGTTAAGCAACATAATGCAAAAAAATGCATTATTCAGTCTCTTTCGCCTTTGTTGTACTAAAATTTTAAAAACAGAACAGGACTTTGTGGACATGCTGCATATGAAACTATACTGTACTGTACACAACCTGAGATACTATACAGTACAGTACTGGAACAATTTATTACATTAAGTGTGTCTGTGGAAGGCTTGCATACTCCATTCCTATATGAAGTAAGGGACAGCATGTAAGTTTAGCTATGTTAACTATTATTAATACTCAACTCATTCATTAATTTGACAATATACCTGTATTCAATAACAAACATCAAAGTAACTGGACTTGAACCAGTGATCTTTAGGTCAAGGTGAGAACTGAATCCACTCAATCATGACCCTCTCTTACAGGGTAACTACAGAATATAACAACAAGCAATAAATATAATGTTACAGTAAATATGTTTTTAAGAGAAAAGACTGGAAAATATTGGGAACTAAATAAAAAGAAGTTTCCAACAAAAATACCTTCCTGAAGCGAGCATGTTTCAGGTTCAGTTTGATTAATCTTCTCTCTTCAGGTGGTCGAACGTGACGTATTAAGAAAGAGAGCACGGGTTGTAAATTCTTGTCACGTGTCAAGCTGAAAAATATTGTACAGTGCAAACATAATGTCATGAAAAAAAAATACACAGGTATATATATATATACTGTATATATAAAATATTTAGATAGTACACATGGACCACAGACTATCTGTCATGAAAAAAAAATACACAGGTATTGTTTTTTTATTACAAGTATTAATGATATTTCAGGGGTTTAGATGTATATATACAATTTTATATTATATTTTTCAGTGTTAAGTGGTTGTATTTGGGGGCCTACATCCTATGGCTATAACGAACAAGGTTCTAGAACCAATTAGATTCTAGCATATACATCAAAACAACAGTGAGAAATATAATGCAAAATAAAAATACTGTACTGTTTTCAGCCTGTTTAGCCTGAATGCAGCCCTCAAGAGGTCACTCATCTCTCACTTAAATTTTACAGTTTATGTTCCATGGTCATAATGTGAGGGCAAGAGGTATGATTGTAGCTACATTATCCCCGAGTTCCTTCTTTCTACCTCTGAGCATCTTAAAACTGGAGCATTGTGAATCAACAAAACTACAGTAATGTATTGTGAACAAGATGATTATGTAACAGAGAATTAATTCCTATCCTACTTGAGCTTGGCCCGAAGTTCTTTCTATCTCCTTTCAAGAGCTTTGTCTTAGTCATGGGTTGAAAAGAAAAAGATAATGTCCTCATACTCTCCTTAATATTCTGTTTTGATTTTCCAAGAGTACATGGGTCCCCGTATGCTGTTAATGGGTGTAGGTCAGTTTTAGGGTTGGTGAAGTGAATTAAATTTTGGAGGTGATGGTGGGAAGGTCGGGGTTTCCTTGGCCATTCATTGTGGATTCTTCCCATTCTTGTTCCAGATTGTTCATTATTCATACAGTGGTGGAGGTTTCATCCAGCTTATCTTCAATGGGACTAAGAGGTCTAGTGTGTGGAGCTATTATGAGTAGTGGCATGTGGCCAATTTAAAGATGACAGCAGGGAGAGTTGAGGAATATATTTATATGACACCCTGCCTTGTTGAGCAGCTTAGTCAACTACTGTAAGCAATGATTGGCTCTGTTATCAGATGGTGAAATAGTCATGGTGAAAAGTGTGCTAACTGGTCACACACAGCCAATGAATGTGACAGGGATGTCCTCTGGGTTACCGTTAGATGGAGAATCTGCTTTCTGGAGGGTCTCTGAATGAGTGATTTCACTGTACTGCATCAATACTTACTCAGAAAAGTGTTGCGGGGTAAGTGGTTGATCATGGCTGAACACCTTGTGGTGATGTGTCAAACTTGAAGCCCAGTTATACAGCTTGTTATCCATTCTTTCTGACATTGTCAAGATGATGCTGTACGTAAAAACCTAAAATACAAAAAAGGTTTATGTAAGTAACACAAAACAAAACTGCCCAGTATATTTAATTTCAAAAGAATTTATACACATTTTGTAATTAATTAGCAGAAGTATGCATCATCACTTTAAAAACAAGTTTACTGAAAAGAAAAAGAGACTACTTACCTTGAATATGTATATTTCATACTGTACTATATTATACACACTACTGTATCTAAGGAGAATTGGTACATGGTGTAGTTCAAGGGTGCTGCCTATTACAGAATACCTGTACTGTATTGTTAACAAGATGTTTACCCAAATGTTTATTCTAAGGCAAAGAATGCAAATCCAATGAAGGAACAAAGAAAAATTAATGCAAACTTATGAAAATAATGTTTAAAATTTTCCAATGACACGATTGGGTCAAAGACAAAATGATGAAGCAATTTACGACACTGTAGCCTACAGGATGACTTAACTGCAACTACAGTACAGGGTATAATAAAAAATGGGGTCTTTTTATATTAGTGCACCATTCTATCTCTCGGTGTTAGAAATATGTTTTTCAGAATGTTTAGATAATTCTAAGATATTTTTGTCAGAAATTAGATTAGGTTGGGTTGGAATGGGTTAGGTTAGGTTTGGTTTGGTTGGTTTTGGGTGATTTTCTATATTGTTGCTTTTTTTTACACAGAAAAAGGGGTAGGTTAAGTTAGGTTATATTTCTTTAGGTATTAGAAATATCATAGAAGAAAAATGTATCAGGATTGTCTAAGTAATCGGAAAAACATATTTCTAACACTGAGAGATATAATGGTGCACTAATATAAAAAGACCAAGAGAACGGTAGGTATTTTTGGTTATTATTCGATTTAACACATCTTCAAATTTCCTAGAAGCACTTACTTTTAGGCAATTTCTACCTCATACATTCCTCAACCCTTGAAGCCTCTTGAAAACGCGTTTCTTTCAGAAAAATTGCACAAGTGAAGAACGCATAACAAATTAGATCAAATAATTCTTCACACATCATTTCTTGGACCACCACGAGCTGTGAGGCTCCAGACAGGCAAAAACGAAGGTGAGATCTGAACAAAATACATCCAAATACATTAGAGACCAAACATGTAGACCACTAACTTTCACTAGGTAAGGTCAGATGACTCGTTTTCGCTTTATACCCCACCCATAAACCCCAATTTCCCAGGCTCTCCTCCATTATTGTTGGAAGGGGGAGGAAGGGGCAAAAACTAGCAATTTCCACCAAATATGAAGGTCAGATTCGTTTAAAACACACCAAAATACACTAGAAAAACATATTGATCAACCCCTAGGGACTCATGTCCTAAAGTAAAAATTTACCTTACGGTATTTCTCTATCTAACCTTATATGACCCAATATTCAGGTCCCTGGTGACACTTTCTGAATATTGACCTATAAGTTAAATACTGACATTATATAACCACTCAGGGTGGTAGAGGGGGGGTAAGCCGTCCCCCCCACTAGAGGGTTAGGTCTGGTTGGTTAGGGTAAATAAGGAAAACATTAGTTTGTTTGTTTTTTCCAGAATAAAATCTATCTATCTCCAATAAAAAAAGCGGCAAAATTCATGCAGGAAAAAAATTTTGGCTAGCAAAATCGCTCGCAGCACTTAAGTAAACGTTTACCAATGGCGGGTGGAGATTTATTGATCCAGTTCTTAAGCATTCCTCACTTTTGTGTATTTTCCTGAAAGAAACAATTTTTCAAGAGGCTTCAAGGGTTGAGGAATGTTTATAGGAGGTAGAAATTGCCTAAAAGTGCTTCTATTCGATTTGAAGATGTGCTAAATCGAATAAGCATATTTTTTCAAGTAGACAACCAACGAACTTTTAGGTTTTGTTATGTTACGTTATATTGTTAGGTTTGGTTAGAGTTGTTAAGCTAAGTTAGGTTAGTTTTGGTGCTCTTTGACTGTTGAGCAATGTGTTTTTCCGATGTTAAAATCCATGGTTGTACGCTTGTAAAAATTTACCGACCGGTGCGCTAGTATAAACAGACTAAAAAATATTTCAACTCATGTACACAGAGTTTCAGTAATATGTATACCTTGGACAATCAATTTTCTACACAGAATTAGTTTACTTTCAAATTTGCTTCGATCGTTTCTCTTGTTTTGCGTTACCTAACAGTATCTACAGCTATTTTACACACTAATTGGCTTAAGATGATTGTTCGCCATCCACAGGTGTTGTAGTTTCACTTAAATCATTGTGTTAGATTATTAACTTCTCATAAATATAAGATGTTACGGATAACTCACTAACTTTACCTCACTCTTCCCGCCGCTACTGAACTTTAATCAACTCATGGTTTAAATGTTATCACAGCGACCACGACCAGCGAACTCTTCCGGCAGCGACCACGACCAGCGAACTCTTCCGGCAGCGAACAACAAACAGCGACCACGACCAGGGAACCAGTGTGCCATAGAGCGAGATTTTTACCACAAAATTCCCACAAAAATGAATAAAAAAACCCACAGATTTTCCCACAAAATTTTCCCACACAAAAAATGTTGAAATAATACATTACCGAAATTAAGATACTCCAGACTTATTTTTAAGGAACGTAAAAGTAAAGTAAATTAATTGCTAGAAGACAAAATTCAAACTACTAAATGCTAAGAAAGCAAAATATAATAAGTTGTAGCAGGCTACAGTAACAGCTTATAGTGGCATAAATAAAAAGTATTGTAGTATCCTTTCAAATAATGCATTAAGTGTTAAGAAGAACGGGAATTAGGTTATGGCTGCATGCTGTGGGGTCAATAAGACTTTTAAAAATGGTATAACCGTTAGGGTTATGAGCACTGATCTCGAAAAAAAAAGACGGGATCGAGCAAGCCATTGTTCTCGAGTGAGCAAAGTTGCAGCCAACAAAATTTGGGCAGCGCCATATTGGATGGACCCAAAGCTTACCGCTGAATGTAACACAAATATGGCGGAGCGGGGAACTCAGTGCTGTGCTTTAGGGTGCAGCAGGGGAAGAAAATTAGGAAATGAAAGAGAAAACGTTCGAAGTGATAGTGAAGGGACTGAAGACGATGAAAGGACGAAGAAACGTAAATTTCCAAGGACTTTTCATGGGTAAGTTATACTTTTATTGCTGCTGCTTGCCTTAGGCCGATCCCTTGATGCCTAATGAAGAGGCAGCATTCGATGTTTGCTTCACGACACTTTAACGCCGATAACGAATTTATATGAGATAAAATATTCTCTTCAGTATAATTACGTCTAAGTTGATATTTAGCCTTTCGTTTCTTCCATACTTTTGCATCGATATAATCAGGTAATAGCTAATTTCGTTTCAAGCTAACAAAGCTTATGGAATGCTTTGTATTATCAATTAAATGAATAAATTTTGAAACTTGTGTTTTCTTTCATTTTTCTCTGCTCTGTAGGATATTTCAGACAAAAAAAAGTTGTCATAGGGCAAACATAGATGGGCCGGTCATGCCTGCTCTAAACGTAACTCGCCAACGTCGTCTCGTTCTCTAGGCCTATCCTAGTCTCAAATCACTCCTCTGTGTCTCCTCGAACAGTTATACGACTGCATCGCCGACAAGAAAAATATTATCCAGGATTTGCGAGCAAAATTTGGCATGATAGCACTCACTGATTCAGCCAAATCCGCGTAAAGCGTGGTCGTGGATAAGGGTCTGTAAATAAGAAATGTGCTTCTCATTTGTGTAAAACAAGCAAATAAATACGACTAAAACTACATCCAGGACTGATTCTTCTTTAGTTCCACTGCACAGTGCTGTTCTTGGCAGTAAATATATAAGCTGTCACTAGTTACTCAGATATTCTCCAATACAAGGGCTACAGTGATCTCCGCAGCTTTGTACGTTTTGGGTCCATCCAATGTGGCCACCAAGATTTCAACCTGGCTGCACTTTCTAAACAATCCAGCTCGATCCAGTCTTTTTTTTTGGAGATCGGTGGTTACTAGGAATCATTTCAGTGTTACAGTAACTCAGTAGAGGTTATACCTCTTTATACCTTGGGTTCTGGGTGAACAAACTACTCTACTCTGCCTCCAGTTCAAGTGTGACAATTTCTTGACACCCATCTCTATTATTTTCTCCTTCAATTTGAAAACTTCCCTTGGCAGCAAAATTTTTCAGCATATCATCTGAGAATGTGAAATTCACACATGATATTCCCTGAAGTGATAACCCATACCTGATCTGAAGTATTACCTCAACTGATCGCACACATAAGCGATTCCTCAATTTAGAGTGAACCACATTCATCTGTGAAAATATACTTTTTACTTTTTACTTTTATACACCTCGGTCTTCGCCACTGATCGGCTCGTTAGCCGCTTGGGTGGTCGGTCACGTCTCTGTCACGCACTGTTGGCAAGTACTGGGTCTTGAAAGAGCTCACACTCAGTGCCGTCACAACACACTCTGGCAGATTGTTCCAAGAGTTCACAACTATCTCTGAAAGTTACCCCTCACAGTTTCCTTGGACCTTTTTTTTTTATTGGGCACTCGCCTACATCCTTGTGAAAGGTGAAGCGCAGAAGCGTTTACAGCGCCCAACAGGGAAGCATGCTAAGTTCATGAGTTAAGGGCGTAGAAGCCTGAAGAGTCAAGGGCGTAGAAGCCTGAAGAGTCAATGGTTTATGTCTAAGCAAGTTATTGGAAGTTCCAACAACTTGTCCCTGAATACGAATTCGCAACTTTCGATTTACATTAGGTACCTACAGTACTGCTAGGTGAACAGGGACCAAGGGGGGCTGGGAAGTGTGTCCGAATAATTTTCCACCGGCCCGGGAATTGAACCCGCTTGTGGGACGAGCGTCTGCCAGCTCCAGCCTTTACTAACACTCATATCTACTAGCTTTAATTTTCTCTGGCGTTTAATTTTCACTGCCATTCACTTTACGTAGCGTTCATTTCCACTGACGTTTATTTTCACTGGCGTTCACCCTTACTGGTGTTCACCCTTACTGGTGTTCATCCTTAGTAGCATTCATTTTCACTGGTGTTTATTGTGACTCAGCCTTACGGTAATGTAATACTGTAGAGAAATTACCTAAAATTAATAACTGGGGATCCACTCTACAAACTTAACTATTTGCCCATACTCACACAGCCCTGAAACTTGTTGAAGACACTGCTACTGACAGTCACATCAGTCTTATCCTCAGTACTTGCTCTATACCCTAAACTCAGTAATAGCTGCTAAATTACAGTAGTTAGGTACTAAATTACAGTAATTAGGTCCAAATTTACAGTAGTTAGGTAATTTTTTGTGGGTGTGAACTGATTTCATTGTTTCAGGAGTACATTGTTCTTTTTTTTCAATTCCAACATATTTTCATGTGGAGTTTTATTAACTTCCAGTGTGTCTGGTGTTCCCTTACACATCTCTTTATCAACCTTGCTTACCTGCTATATCTAATTTTTCTGTTTCCTTCAGTAGACAGGAATTTTAATAAATTTATGTTTGCATAATTAACTAGCTGAGCTTCCCATTCTCTTTCCTCTTTTGTTTCATTATTTGTGGTTCTTGGACAGTTCACTTGATTCTATATGAAGTTGAGCAGCCAGCCTATGTGCCCAGTATTTCTGATACCCTCCATAGTTTTTGCTATTTCTCATTGTTTCTTTATTTGTTGTTATGCTACTTTGCAAGAGACTGTTACTTCTTTTGAATGTTACCATTGTTCCTTCTTTGTATAATTCATATCAAATCAGTAGTCACTGCTTCTCACATGCTTCTTGGTATGGGAGGAATTCTCAAGTGTGTTTAGATATTTAGCTCCCTTCCCACAAGAGGGTCCACCAGAAATAAAAATGAAACATGACTCATGTTTAACAGTTTTATAAACATAATATGAACATGTGTATGGGGGTGCTCTTCATTAGTGATTGTACCTGCATATATTGTACTGGGACATGATACTGGAAAGTTAAGTTCATCATATATGCTTATATATATATATATATATATATATATATATATATATATATATATATATATATATATATATATATATATATATATATATATTATTATTATTTATTTTTTTTGAGATTAGCCCACCCAGGCACAGGTCACCAACCCACATTCAGGCCTCGGGGATGAAAAAAAAAACCAGAAACAGAAATGTTAGAAACAATAGACTGTATGTATACAGTATGTTGTGTTGTCAAAGAAAGAAAACATTGTGTGTAAATGAGGCAGAAAGTCAGATCAACAACCTGGGACTTGGTCACAATTTTTGTGATGCCATATGGCAGCAGGGTCTACCATTAGACAACATTATGCTTCCAATATCTTCCCATGCGGTAGTGTGGGGTATGAGGTTGTTTGGTGTTCACTCAGGATGGGTTGGAGAAAGGAAACTCACGATGTGCTCTCAGTATACATGTTGTATTGGATGTACAATGCAGCTTGGTGCTGGGAAGGCAGCATGGTTACAAGCGTGATGTAGAGAGAGCTGGTTGGTGAGGATGCTCAGAGAAGGACAGCTGGTGGGTCGCCATGCTCGCCGGCAGGAGCGAGGACCGCCAGGCAGGCGGAGGAGGAGGAGGAGGAGGTGTTGCTGGCTGGTTGGTGTAGGTAGAAAGAGACAGGTCACCACGAGGTCAGGTCTCAAATAGCGGGGGTTGGCGTGGCTTAGTAGTTGACCCCCGCTCCGTGATGTATGGCAACGCTGGTTGACCTAGACCACGAGGCATACACTGGGGAATTGGTGGGGTCGGCTACTCAGCGACAAACAGCGTTTGTAGGGGAGAATTCCACTACAATACTCCCCCTTCCCTCCAGGCGGTGTAGGAGACTTGTTGTCTGCAGGGTTGCATAGCACATGTGAGGCAGAACGGGCGGTGCATGCCTCATGTGGGACATAACAGCAGGGCGTGGATGAGCTGGCCGCTAGAAGAGACAACTGTCTAGATACACAATATCTGTGGGAGAAGAGAGGGAGAAAGAGGGTATGTGGAGGCGATTAATGTTGTGCTTCACTCGTGACAGGTATAGAGTCGTCAGATGCGCCTGCTGGGGTGTGTGGGCCTGGGTCAGGAGCAGGGGCTGCGTCAGCAGAAGCGGATGAGGGCTCGTGACAGCAGCAGGGTGCAGGACATTAGCAGGGAGTACCTGAGGGAAAAAAGAGGGGTGTGTGGGTCCGCACTCAGGAACAGGGCCTGTGTCAGGGGGTACTGCTGGGCCGGGGTCGGCGTCTGAGGCAGGACGGGTGTGTTGGTCCGCGCCAGGAGCAGAGGCCGCATCAGGGGCGGCAGGGGTTACTGCTGGGCCGGGGGCGGCGTCTGAGGCAGGACGGGTGTGCTGGGGTCGGTAGGACGTGGTGCTTGGGGCAGGAAGAGGAGCTGGTGTCTGCTTGGAGAAGCAGCGCTGCTCTAGGGTGTCTAACCTGTGGTGTAGAGACAGTAGTTGTAGAGCCGATGAGAGCTGCTTCTGTGTGGATAAGCCAGTCTTCCATTTTGCTTGAAGACTGGGAGCGTGATCAGTTTCTCCTCCATCCTGTGTGAGTGCGAATCTCCGGGAGTCACCATTTGTGGGGGTATGAGGTTGTTTGGTGTTCACTCAGGATGGGATGGAGAAAGGAAACTCACGATGTGCTCTCTGTATACATGTTGTATTGGATGTACAATGCAGCTTGGTGCTGGGAAGGCAGCATGGTTACAAGCGTGATGTAGAGAGAGCTGGTTGGTGAGGATGCTCAGAGAAGGACAGCTGGTGGGTCGCCATGCTCGCCGGCGGGAGCGAGGACCGCCAGGCAGGCGGAGGAGGAGGAGGAGGAGGTGTTGCTGGCTGGTTGGTGTAGGTAGAAAGAGACAGGTCACCACGAGGTCAGGTCTTAAATAGCGGGGGTTGGCGTGGCTTAGTAGTTGACCCCCGCTCCGTGATGTATGGCGGCGCTGGTTGACCTAGACCACGAGGCATACACTGGGGAATTGTTGGGGTCGGCTACTCAGCGACAAACAGCGTTTGTAGGGGAGAAATCCACTACAGTAGTACCTTCCTGAGTGATAGCTGCCTACTACCTAATATTTGACTTCCATAGGTGAGATGGAGTCTTCATTAGCTCATTAAGTCAATTGATCAACTTAAAATTTTTATCAGTTGAGCTTATTATTTTTAAGAATGTTTGTCAGAATATTCTTTCTTTCAACCATACTGCACTACCATAATGCAAGACAAAGGGATATCACATCTTTGGATGACCACTGTACTTTGAAGGACTCCCCTGTCCAGTCTCAAAGAAAATCAGACCATCAGGTTGATTGAGGTTACTCTAATGTTAAACACACAAGGTAGAGTCGTGTGGAGCTTGGGGAGTTAAAGAGATTTTTTTGTACCCATCTTTTAACTATTTTGTTAACTCCCAAATTGTCAAATTAACTTGTTCTTCAATATGAAATGAACTAAAACACAATATTGGTTCAATATTTTTGACAAACTACATACTGTAGGTTACACTTTCATGGATAAATAAAAGATGGTATCTTACAAACTGAACTTTATTGCATGAATGAATATTAAATACTGTACACAAAGAGACTGCTGTACACTATCACAAATTTTTATGTGTGCTAAACTGGGTTTGGTACCAGCGGCACACGCCCCTTTGTGACCAAAAAGTACACTCATCATCTAACGTGAACTGTGACCTTACAGAATCTGAGACCCTTTCTTACATGACTGTGAAGTGGGTGTCCTTCTCCCAAATGTTAAAAACTATTTCTTTGTTGTCTTTAGATATTTATATTAGACTTTTTATGCAATATAGCAAAGTGGCTAAACACTATCAAAGGCAACCAGTCTCAGTATGTTTTATGCCCCACTTACCTGAAAAGAAGAGTACAGGTAAGGCCTCTTACACACTTTAAAACCAACAGATCCACATAATAATATAGATATACGTATATTTAATGTTTAGGTTTCTAATGGAACCTCAATGGGGTTGGTTTATTAGTCTGTGTATGACACCAGGATTTGGGAGTGTAGGATGCCAAACACAGCCACACAAGCCTTACAGTACACTGCTCAATTTTAAGTGTAACTTTCAGTGAGCCCTACATGTTTTTTTGACTTTAAAAATTATAAAATGAACCAAAACAGATGAATACAATCTAGTGAAATATTTACAAAAATAAAACAATACAAAATTCACTCAGGAAATAGATCTGAATACCTAAATTTGAGATCTAAAAATACTTTCAATCATACAAGTACAAAAATATCACAAACAGTAGAAGGAACCTCTAGAGAAACGTGTCAATTGCCGCCAAACCTTTTGAGTCAATTTTTGCATAAGTTGCGCTTTCCCTTTCAGTAAACAAATAATCTTTGCAATTTTCTACACTACTTACTAATCAACTTTGTACATTGAGTGTGGTCATATTAAAAATGGAATGTCATGTACAGACGTGATGATACAAAACTTTGCAAAACCAAAACTATGTTGTACGCACATCACAATAAGTGAACACTTGCCAGTGTGCTCACTACTGCACTTGTTAAATGTCTGCCCACATAACAAGAATGGGTATCAGCATACCGTAACCCTTATTAAAGTGTCCTCTTTGGCACTGCAGTATACTGTTCATTATCAACACTTTAAATGGTACTGCACAATGGGTTCTACACAGCTGATTTCACTTCACTTTCAGTAAAGCCATATTAGCTATAGGGCACAAGTGTGTGTTTCTGGAGCACATCACAGCCCAGCACAACCAACAAAACAACACTGTACACTTTGCCACCTCTGAAAAACCACAAAACCCCTGCTGCTCCAAAGGCAATTAGAGCAACAATGTGTCTGTGACAGAAGGCTGTGGAGGATGAGGCTAAGTATAGGAAGACAGGGGCATATCCCTACAGATGCTGTTGATGTTGCTGCTGCTGTTGCTGCTGTTGTTGCTGCTGCTGCTGCTGCTGCTGCTGCTGTTGTTGTTGCTGTTGTTGTTGCTGCTGCTGCTGCTGCTGCTGGGTGGGAGTGTGAAGAGGTTGTGTTGGTTCAAATTGTAGAGGTACTAGTGGGTTAGCAGGTGGTGAGGTGTGATGGTGAGGGTGGGCGGAGGTGGGGGCCTCTTGGAGAGAGACAGGTGGTATGCGATGTGCAGGTGGTCTCATAATATCGTCGGCTTGGGGGCAGTGTTGCCGAGGTCCTGGCTCAGGGGTGTATGTGAAGGTAAGATTGGTAGCATAAATGATACCATCATGACGAACTAAAGAGACAGGAACCTGAAATAAATGTTGATAATAATAAGTCTATTGTCTGTACTATATCCCATTGACTTATCTAAAAATAGTCTTGGAACAGTATCTTACAAGTAGTGCAATACAGTATTGTATCTTAAAAAAATTGAGATCACACATTAAGTAAACATAGTACAGTAGTAATAATAAGTCTGTTTGCTTTTTGTTATGGTTTCACTTTATCATAAAGCTATAATGTATAAAATACTGTAATGAGTAATGTTAATTTCAGTTACCATCACTTGAAAATGTATCTGTACATTGCAAGAATAAAATGGATGTGTAGCTTACCTGTGTGGGCTGACGAACCCACTGCCATCCCCTGCGGAATGCAGATATATCAGGAACAACACACAGCATAGATTCTTGACAACGATACATGGTTTCTGCTTCTACGTCGCCAAACCATACACGTAAGTTTGGACTGAAGTTTTCTCCAGTCAGCTCTAACATGGCAACATCACCACCACCATTCAGCTGTAACAATAATATAATATTTAAGTAAGTAATGTTCAAATTTTCTCTGAAGAGGTAAAAATTATGTTGCTAAAAGTTTTGAAATTTAGTTTACTGACAAAAATAAAGATATAGAAAACTTTACATACAGTGAATTAATAAAAAGAGTATTCAGGTTTAAATAGAAAGTGAAAAAATGGATACTAAAGCAATAATAAGATTATTAATCAAATGGTTATACAGCATGAAGAATGCTTATGAGCAGTGCTTAATATGTAAAATAAGAAGTGGTGGAACTCTAGTGAGACAAAGACAGATGCTGCAAGCATACGTACATAATACCGATGGCAGTATTTATTGATATGTGAGTACATTTACAATTTACTCATGCAAAATAAGTGTTGGAATGCCATTCTAGCACAATTTAAGCACTGCTTATAAGTTTTAGAATTTACGACACACTATAGGCTGCAATATAGTTCTGAAGAGAGGCAGTTTCTATTAAATCCTGTGTAGTTTAATAATAAGCCAGTAAGGAAAAAGAGTACCGGTGCAGAACTGAACGTTGGTTGACACAAGTAACATGTGATCCTAGTCTCTGTTCAAGCACCGCCTTAAGGGACGGCACAGATTTAGCAGATAGTTTCTTCATGATGCACTTTCCAAACTGTAGTTTTCTTTAATAATTAATCTGGCATATTTTATAAATGAGGACTTTTCAAAAAGTACAGTTCTTTTATCTCTTATGGTTCTTCTATGCTCATTCTTTAAATTATTTAAAAATATTAAAAAAGAAGGATTGTTCTTATTTAAGACAAAACGTAAAGTGTACATTCTAACAAGTTGTGAACTACAGTACAGTACAGTTAAATGAACATGTAAAGGAATTTGGCACAATAAGTAACTTATCTAATGTAAAGATATACTGTATAGCAGTTCAAAATACAGAAGACTTTCTCTCACACATGTTAGTATAAAGTAAATAAAAATGTGGCTTACATGAAGGGAGCTGACAATAGGTACTGGGGTGATTGGTGCCCGCACTGGTCCCATGCCCTCATAGAACTGATACTCGGCTTTATCTGTACTGATGATGGTCCAAGATGCTCCATCATTGATCATCTCCTTGTTGGCTTCCTTTGGACATGGAGTTGCCTGTTGAAGAAAAAAGTAATTATTACACTTTTGGAACATACAGCACCCAGTATTTATAACTGAAGAATTTACACTAATAGCCCATTATTTTATTACTACAGTACAGGTATCATTATTGAAAGTCTAATGCTAAAACATTTTTGGAAAGACAAGCCTTTTGCCATGTACTATACACTGAACCCTCATTAATCTGGCATTACAGTAATCAATTTGGAATTCACACTAATTTGGAAGGTTTTAGTGCTGCCAAAATCCCAAGGCTCATGGTTAATGTATTCTTGTGATTATGCCAAAATTGACCTGCACATGTTGAGACTCAGAATAAATACATACAATAACAGCACTGTACCTAGTTGTACAAAATACAAATATTACAGGTGCTTTTTATTAACTTCCATAGCCAGTGCGATAATGAAGAATGCAGAGTAATGAAAGATAAATAGAGTAGTGTAAACATTGTTAGTGCAGTGTTTGTATAGTACAGTACTATAAGCATACCAGTCCCCCTAGGAATTATCTTCAGCAAAATTTGTATGGATATTCATTATATAATTTTTTTTATTATACCTTATTATTTTATGAATTTTGTGGGGTTAACCACTTCATAGCTTTCTAAATGTCTACCAATATGTTGAGGTGAATTTTGGCATCATGCCAAAATTGGAGTGAAAATGTGGAAATTAGGGCAAATTCAGAATTTCAGCTTGGCCAGAACCCTTAACGTGTCAATATTTTTATGTTTTAGTGTACTTTCCAGTTAACATTAATCAATATAGGTATTTATAAAACACATTACCGGTATGCTTTACAGTGAGTAGTGTGAAGACAACCAAATTTCTTACCTGGAACTGAATGATGCGTTCTTGGCTGAGACAGAGGTACATGCGTTCCGTGTCCTTCATGTAGAAGGCACATTTGTGAAGTTGTGAAACTGGATCATCAGCATCCAGGAGGGCAGTCTGTTTATCAACCTTGCGAATGATGAGCCTGGGCAGTGCCATACCCGTTACAGCACACACTAGCTTGACCGTCGAGCCGTAGTGAATGTAGCCATCCCGTACACTGAACTCTTCACTCTCACTCGCATTGTCATCCACTGTCGAAACAAGGCATTTAAGAATGACCCATTCAAGTTTAACAAAGACTAAACCTACTTAAATTACAAGATCACCTGGCCGTTAAAAGTGACTACCTTTTCTATTAATAAAGAATACTGTTCTTATTACCTAATCTACATTACTTTGCATTAACAGCATTGTACCTAAGTGGCAATCAAATAATTGATTTTGGTTTGTTTAACAATAAAATAATGAGAAGAATGAAAGCCTTATAATGACAGGGTAAAACAATGCTACAATCATGCTAAATTTTAGGGTGAAAAGCTATACACTTAATGGCATCCTTCAAAGATGGATGAGGTGGAAGCGAGAGATAAAAGTGCAGGCTGCATAATGTAGGAGCAGCCTGTGGATACACCAGCTGGGTTCTCTGACCACACCTCACCTACCTGCCTATCAAGTCTACACTCTATCTCATCCACTGACATTAAGATTAACATTCTCACACACACACCATACAGGTGAGAATTTACTTAATTTAGCAATAAATGATGCCTAAAAATTATAACATAATTTCACTTACTGAGAAAGTTTAAACAAACTCCATCTCAAACTATGTAACCTCATTTACAATTACAGTATTGTACAGTACATGTACATACATGGCATTTAAATTGAAGTGATCTGCACAGCACTTATTTTAGATATCTTACACTGAAGGTACCATTAATTGCTACTATCAATGGGAACTTATGAAATACAAAGGGTTTACAGGTAATAAAAATATTTTATAAACACATAAAGACATTGTGTGTATGATACTCACGCAGGTGTATCGTGAAGGCACCCCACTGTGTGGAGGAGGCATGGAAGTTGCCATTCTCAACATGCAGGTAGCGTGTGGACACTGTCTGTGACCGCAGGCGGTTGAACAGTGCTACCTTTGTCCCCGAGGCTATACACACTGAAAAAACATTCCTTGTTAGTACTGTACAGTACAACACTTAAAGTATACTGTACTGTACAATATATACTGTAAATACATAAATACAGCAATCATATAAATACAAGTAATGATTATATTTAATTAACATAATAATGTACTGAGGTTTGTGTGATATTCTCTCACTGGTTATTTATTGTCAGCTACAGTAAAATGAAGTGCCCTGCCCATTCCATGTGCATCTTTATGGCTCACACCTACAATATGAACACATCCACCAAGCACACAATGTATACAATTTAACAAGTTAGACCATCAATAAACTTATCAAATACTGTACAGAAAAATTTCTTGAGTACTTGAGTACTACATAATAGTGCTGATGAAGAACTGTCCTATAGATTGTCATGTTTTAGTGTTCAAACTTTTTTTTTCCTTTATTTTGTGAAACTAATCTCCAGCAGTATATTTGCATCTGAAGAAAGAACATTTACCTGAAATCATCTGCTACCTGAACAATGATAATACAGTATTATGGTCTGGCTGTTTAATGATGCTATTAAGCAAGTGACTATCACACAAACGATCAGAGAGGAAGATGACCTAAACGGAAAGAAAAAAAAATTATATATATATATATATATATATATATATATATATATATATATTAAATGGCACCTTCTATTGTGTTCTGTGGCAAAACTGTCACACAACAAATCATGGTACTGTACATCTGTCAATCTAGCACTTGTTGTTCCATAGCACACAGAGTGATGAAAGACATTTTAAAATACAGTCCAGTACATGTATACTACAGTAATATACTGTAGTGCTGTACAGGTACAGTAGCTAAAACAACTATCTGTGCAGGTGGGGGTCGATATGCTCCAAAATTTTACTTGTGACTAGCTAGTGACAGCCCTCATATATCAAAATTTATCGTCCATGGTCTCATATTGTTTCCCACAAAGTATGCATGGATAGTTGTTTTAGCTGCTGTTTGTAATTACTGTCTTGGCTATTTATAAACTAAAATATTGATGAACTGACTACAGCACACACACACCATTTAAGATTTTTATGTACCGTATAACTCTTATATTTAAATAAACTTTTGTCAAGGAAAAACGGCAAGGTGACTCCTATTTTCAACTAACTCATTAATACAGTACCCTGAGTAAGTTTTAGTGCATCTTGATATTTTAGTAAATGCCACCATCAGGTTAACAATAATGCAATTGTCCTAAAAGTACAACATGAAACAGTAAACATAGTTCATGTGGTAAAACACTGAACATGCAACAGAATGATTTATAGATTTTTTTTTCATTTACGAAAAGTATAGAGTCCAGCTTTACAGGTCCAAACAGTGATAGATGTTGGCAGGTACAGTACACTACTAAGAGCACATGACCACTAAACCATTTCTATGGAGAAATGAACCATTCAAATGATAACCTAGCCAACCTTTTTCAAATAAAACAAAAATTCCATATCTTTGTGTTCTGACACCAAAACAAAGTATTTAAAATACCAGGTTTAGTTGCACAAGAAAGATAAACTATAACATCATAAACAACAACAATAATGGTGACTTAGTGGTCCTATTCATTGTTCTTTTCAACATTAAATATTGTGTGGGCGGGACCAGAGTTTATTTACAGGGTGTGTTGAGGGGAACTTTTCGCCACCACTCCAGCCACTCGTTTAAAGTATTATTTATACAGAACTGTTATAAAATGGGTCGCTAGTAATTTACAGCATAAATAACAGTTGGGGTAGTACAGTAGTCTGTCACCATTAAGATGACCTCGGTGGTCATCATGGAATGAAGCTTAAGTGTGGGGATTATCGAATTCTCAAAGGTTGGTGGTATTTGTTTTCTCCCTAACTGGAGATGTGAAAATGCAGTTAAGGCAGTTAACTGGTTGTCTTGAATTTCAGCAAAGAAATGGTTCTCGAATATGGCGTCGGCATCACAGCAAGACTACACTATAACTTGATATATTTTGGTGCTCATAGTTGACGATAAAGACCGGGTCATATAAAGACTAATGCATCCAACTTTAATTAGGTCAGGTTAGCTTTAGGGAAGTTAATCTTACGGTCAAATAAGGTGATCCTAAAGATTTAACCATAATAATGATAGTACAAGCTCCCTCTGTGTTAGACGTGGCCCAGACTCTCACACACACTTTGACATTTACCAAGTGACATGCAGACGTGTGGAGGGGAGACAACACCTGGTTTTACCTGTGAGCCACACCAGGTAAAAAATAATCACTGCTGCAGCCTCCCCTCGGCGACCTAAGGAGCAGATGGGAGGGAGAGGTGAGGGAGGTGGGAAGGAGAGGTAGGTAGGTGGGAAAAAAGGAAAGGTGAAGGAAGGGGGGGAATAGGAGAAAGAGGTAGAGGAAGGGGGAGGTAAACAGGAGGACAGCAAGGATGGGGGAAGAGAGGTGAGGAAAGGTAAGAAGCAAGAGTGAGGAGGAAGGGGTGAGGGAAGGAGGAGGAAGAGAAGCAGGGAGGGTGGGGTGAGACGGGGGCACGGACCGTACTGCCCTCCGGAAGTGTAAGCAGCAGCCAGAAGGTTCCCACGACCCTCCTGACACCTCCACCCTCTCTCTCTCGTCTCTCTCTTATGTTATGATACAACTCCTCTTTATAAATGTTCTCATACTACATAAATAGTCACTTGTAGTTGACAAATTAATTTAACCTAACATTAACCTCATGTAATCTAACCTAACCCAATCCAATCTAATACGAACCTAATCTAATTTAACTCAACACAAAGGTCCTCACAACTTTCCAATGATAAATATACTCCAACATAACATACCGTACTCCAGATGTGACGCAAGACCATTATCTTGTCTACCATCTACTTATAACTACTGTCTATTATTTACTTAAATCTACCCCCCCCCCCACACACAAAAAAAAACGCTTTACAGTACAAACACATATATATAAGAGTACACGAGCATAAAATATGTGTTCACAATCTCTCTCGTGCGCTTACACACACCAGGGTTATTATGACATACGTACTGACATGTGTACACACCTGGCGACACACAGGTAATTATGTAGTTTTTTAATACAAAAACACGACACGCCTGGGTGTGCTAACTTCTACTTCTGTAGCAGGGAATGTGTGATGTATGAAGGAAAAACATTGTGTGTGTGTGTGAGGGATACTGCAACTACGGTAAAAGGAGTAAGGCGGATGTGATAAGCGGAAGTGTTGTGTGCTTATTGCCATGTTCCTTCCCTTCCTTTTTCACCTACCCTCTTCCTCCTCCTCCTCACTACCCGACTAGGTGCACACACACACACACACACACTCTAGGGTCCCAACACTGCCCCCTGCCAGCACACCATTCGTTACCTACACTGGTGTACGCTACAGTATGTGGGACACAACTGTTATCACTACAGTACCTCACAGCGCGTCCTCCTCTACACAGTATTTCAAGCTTCCACCAACGCTACAAACACACACACACACACACGTCCTCCTGGCTCTCACAAAAACTCTTAGTTCAGATCGTGGCAGTGATATTGTGGGAGCTCGGTGTGTGTGTGGGAGTGCTCAACATTAATGATATGGAATGTTCAACTTGAATAAGTGGTTGACGTGGAGGCGCTACTATAGAGGTGGTTGAGGTGGAGCTGGTAGACCACTTCCTCTCCCCAGGAAACATGGGGGTGATCCTCCCTGGCTCCACAACCCCACTTTCAGTTTTCTAACCACATAATCTTGAAGCATTATTTACCTCAGCGAGCACCAACGACGTAACCCTCACCCGGTGCAAGACTACCTAACTTGGTCATTATCGCCGGGATACAGAGAGGCGGCGGGGTGTGCTGGGGTGCTGGCGCCTCACCTGACCGTCTGGCAGGTGCAAGAGGTCGGTAAATGAGCGTAATTTTACTGTTATTACATAGACTGCCGCATACGAGGTTCCGAGTTCGTCAGCGACCGGTGTGCACCGTCGTCTTGCTCGGCTGTCTGCTTCACCACTTCACCACACGTCACAATATGCAGAGTAAATATTTAAAAATCATTCGGCGTAAACTTGGCCGCCTCCAGGAGTAAGTGCGTCAATGTGCGTCGTCTGTAGTTTTATGTCGTTTCGTGTGACGCTGTGAGAAGTGTGACCCTTGCAGAGACGCGTGGCGCTGAGAGTGTATACGGTGAAGAGGAGCGTGGCGTGGCGGAGGGCAGGGTGGGGGGGGTGGACAGACCTTCACAGCAGGAGCAGGTCCAGGCGCCGTCACACTTTCAACAACAAATAGAGAGCTTCATAACCTGGCCCTGACTGATGCCCCCGCCCCTCACCTATGTGTCAGTTGATGCCCCGCCCTCACCTGTGTGTCAGTTGATGCCCACCCCTTGATGCCGCCCTCACCTGTGTGTCAGTTGATGCCCCGCCCTCACCTGTGTGTCAGTTGATGTGCCCTCACCTGTGTGTGATGCCCCGCCCTCACCTGTGTGTCAGTTGATGCACCGCCCTCACCTGTGTCAGTTGATGCCCGCCCTCACCTGTGTGTCAGTTGATGCCCCGCCCTCACCTGTGCCTGATGCCCCCCTCACCTGTGTGTCAGTTGATCCCCTCACCTATGTGTCAGTTGATGCCCCGCCCCTCACCTGTGTGTCAGTTGATGCCCCACCCCTCACCTGTGTGTCACCTGTGTGTCAGGTCATGCCCCGCCCCTCACCTGTGTGTCAGGTCATGCCCCGACCCTCACCTGTGTGTCAAGTCATGCCCCGCCCCTCACTTCACATCACCCAACACTGACTGTCAGTTAACTGTATATCAGGACCACTTACTACATCACCACCACCACCGTACCACCTTCACCACCACCGTACCACCTTCACCACTACTAAATAATTCTAGGCTCAACAACACCGCCATATGGACGAAGATAATTATTGTCTACAAAAGGACTAAATAACTCAATTAATTCCACCTGAGACGAAAAAAAGAAACATTATATGGCGGCCATCAGCGGTGTTGATATTATCACCCCCACCCCCCTCCCCCCGGGCCTCACTTGACCACCTGACCAGACTTGTCAATGTTTGTCCTCCTCCACCCACCATAACCACTACAACTTTGCCTAACCTAACCAAACCTAGGGAGGAATGATTGAGGTTAGCTCAGTGGTGATTTTGGGGGTAGTAGTAGTGGTGGTAATGGTGGTAGTAGTGGTGGTAGTAATGGTGGTGATAGTGGTAGTAGTGGTGGTGGTTATAGTGGTAGTAGTGGTGTTGGGGGTAGTAGTAGTGGTGGTGATGGTGGTAGTAGTGGTGTTGGGGGTAGTAGTAGTGAGTGGTGGTAGTAGTGGTAGTTGGTGGTAGTAGTGGTGGTAGTGGTGATGGTGGTAGTAGTGGTGGTAGTAGTGGTGGTGGTGATAGCGGTAGTAGTGGTGTTGGGGGTAGTAGTAGTGGTGGTGATAGTGGTAGTAGTGGTGTTGGTGGTAGTAGTGGTGGTAGTGATGGTGGTAGTAGTAATGGTGGTAGTAGTGATGGTGGTAGTAGTGATGGTGGTGCCATACATCATATATCAACCTTCATTTTGTCCTCCTCTTCCTCCTGAGTCGACCTTCTCCCCCCTCTCCCCCTCACCTTTCAAGCGAAAATGTTTACAGCGAGAAAAACTCGAACCGCAAAAAAAATCCAACTCTTAACACGGCGGCCTCCCTTGACCCCTCACCTCCCCTCTGTTCTCTCCCCTCACTCCCAGACTCCTCACCCCCTCCCTATTTCTCCCCATTATTTTTTGTCAACCTTTTCTCCTTCCTCACCTCACACAGATCTCTCTCTGTCTGTCTGTTTGTTTGTCTCTGTCTGTCTCTCTTTGTCTATCTGTCTGTCTGTCTCTCACTCTGTCTGTCTGTCTCTCCCTCTCTCTGTCTGTGTCTGTCTGTCTGTCTCTCTCTGACCTACTGTACTGTGTTTATCATGGTGTGAGGGTAAGGGAGAGGGCCGGGAGGATTACCTCACAGTGTGGTAAAACATAAAGAGTTCTTACACCCACTGCCACCACTACCACCACCACCACTACCACCACCACCATCAACCACCATTACCTCCCATGTCTCCAACCATCTTACCTCCTCGTCTGCAGCATGGAGGTAAAAAAAAATACCTCATTCCTCATACTGCCAGGTCGAGTTTAATACTGATTTCAATAACCAAACCAAACCTAGCCTAACTCAGACACACGTTTAGGATCAAATATACTTAAAAAAATACCCAACAGCTTCAAAAAAAGGGAGTCACCTCACAGGACACTTAAACTATCACTACAAACACTTACTTAAAAAGGACACTTAAAAAAGGTGTTACTTACAATCAGCGTTCTTGAGACTCTGCTTCTTCTTGGACGGTTTTGATATAACCTTGATCCTACGGGAGTGAAAGACGCCTATGTCGGCCCCAGAGCCCCAGAAGTTCTTGACGGTTAACATGAAGTGTTTCCTCTTGTCCGAGTCACTGATGAACAGGGTCTTGGCGGCACAGTAGTTCTGGACGCGAGAAAAGGAGGTACAAAGAAGGTATGGTAAAGTGAAAATAATTATAATGGTAAGAAAGAAAGAAAAGGTAACGAAAATAATAATAAAATGGTAAATGAAATAAGAAAAAGAATGAATGTATTTTTATCTGACACCAACTAGCCATTATGTTCACTTGGGTCATGCAGAGTGGGTAGGAAGGTAGGAGGTAAAGGTAAGGTAAGGTAGGTTAAGGTGAAAAAGAATGAATGTATTTTTATCTGACACCAACTAGCCATTATGTTCACTTGGGTCATGCAGAGTGGGTGAGAGAAGGAGGAAGGTAGGTAAGGTAGGGTTAAGGTGAGAGAAGGAGGGAGGTAAGGTAGGGTTAAGGTGAGGTGAGGGAGGGAGGTAAGGTAGGGTTAACGAAAGGTGAGGTGAGGGAAGGAAGGGTTAACGAAAGGTGAGGTGAGGGAAGGAAGGGAAGGCAAGAAGTTAGCAACTCACTTTGCTAAGGTCGAGTTGCTGCATGTCCTGGTCTGAGTTGCCGATGCCGATGAAACAACACAGCTGGGAGTCGTGTTCAGTGGCCCCCGCACGTTGCATCTCGTGTCTTTTGCGCTGCCACCCGTCCCCATACAGGTAGATACACGGCGGGGGGCAGAAGAACCGCTTCTCGTTACCGTAAGACTTCTGGGCCACCTTAGCGTGTAGGATCACTAGCGTCTGGTCACCTCGCTCCCTCAGGTACCTCTGCATCGCCTCCCTCGTCAGTCGCTGCTCCTTGGGTCTGCCCAGAGAGAAACGCGATGAGGTTTTAAAGTTAAGAGGTAGTACTGTACCAGGACTCTCCTGGGGGTAAACACAAGGTGATTCAAAAGGTTCTTCCTCCCATGAGCCTATAGAAAAAATATAAATTATTTTATTATTTAAGGTGGACGTGATAATGTTGGAGAGTCTTGTTATTATTATCCGCTCTGTATCTGTGTTTTTTCTGGCTAAATAAACTGTTTCATTATCAATATCCATAACCATGATAATAATCCACACCTAGGTGATGGATCAGGTGTGACTCTATCCAACCTTGAGACACACACACACACACTGTTCCTGAGTTACTGTACATAATTAATTTGATAACCTTGGCAATATAGTGATTTGCAGGTAAGGAGGTGTGTCGCGTGCATACAGGTAACCTTGGCCACTCACTCCAGATTATGATAAACTTTATTTACACATTTATACTGAAGGGTGTCGATGTTTGTCCCTTCCTTGGTTGAGATCACTTCCGGTTGAGTCACTAAAGAGTAATGATGGTGAGAAAACTACTAAGTTCCTTGTAACCTAACTATAACTGCGTCGTCTGGTTGTTGTTGCGTCCACCAATCACGAGTGACTTTTTCCCCTGGTCTCGCCAATCAGAAGTGATTTTTTCTCGTTCGTCTCACCAATCAGGGGTGACTTTTCCCCTCGTTTGGCCAATCAGGAGTGACTTTACCTCTCGCCTCGCCAATCACGAGTTATTTTCCCCTATTTTCCACCAATCACAAACGAGTACCTCTTCCCCTCCCCGTCCCCTCCACCAATCAGAGAACCTCTATTGACCAATCACGAGTGCCTTCTTCCCCTCACTCCGCCCCCCCACCCACCCTCAACCGCTCAATTCATTCGTCTATTTCCATCTTGTCTGTTTACTATAATAATATTTGTTTGCCTAATACAAAAGACTCTTACCTGTGTTCACCTGACATATTATTTCTTAAGTCGACTCTAAATAAGGTGACGTGTCTCCAGAATGTTAAAGTCTATATATCTATTTCAGGTACCTATCTCGACCTCTGCACCATGTATGTATGTATGTATGTATGTATGTACGTATGTATGTATGTACGTATGTATGTATGTATATATGTACTGTATGTAGTAAGTCAGTTATCTATTTACAGTAACTATTTCCGTTAACTCCACACACACACAAAGAAATGTCCGTATCAACAAGAGAACCAAAACAAACGCCACAATCAGAGACCCGCCATTACAGTGTGAAGTCTTCTCAGGTTTATCCCCAAGAATAGAATCTTAAGTCCCTTTACATACGCTACGCCAACGGGGAGACGTTGTTTGGTTGTGACGTAGTTTGGTTGTGACGTTGTTTGGTTGTGACGTAGTTTGGTTGTGACGTAGTTTGGTTGTGACGTAGTTTGGTTGTATATACGCAAGTCTAAGGAGTAGAAAGTGTAGATTCTAAAGTCCTTCTCTATATGTTAAACGGAGACGTAGTTTTGCTGTATTATTTTACCCGATGATTCAATATCCTAAATGCTATCTGGGGAGAGTTAGGTTAGGTTAGGTTAAATTAGGTTAGGTTCGGTTAGCGCTAATGTGTTTAATCATAGATGAATTAAGCTTGAGGAGGGTGCTAATCTTCACCTAACTCGACCTAACCTAACCCAAAATCACTAGAAAATCATATAATCGTGGATGAGCTGGAGCATATAACTTTACGGTGTGGGAGACAGTCATTACACAGGATACCTCTCTCTCGTGTCGTCGCATTACCTTCAATACGTCCTGATTGTTGCTGATGTCAAGGATATCTCACCTTACACGCACGCCTACCTACCTACCTCTCCTCTCCTCGCCTCCTTCCTCCCACCTCTTCTCTCCCCCTTCCCACCCCCTCGTCTCCTGTATACTTCCTCTCCTGCATACGGGACACACATACACATGCGCACAGATTCACAGACACGCACAGACAGACACACAGATACATACACACACACATGAATCATTAGAGGGACTTTCTATCTTTATCTGTTGCTAGTTAAAGGGGTGCTGCTCTCTCTCTCTCTCTCTCTCTCTCTCTCTCTCTCTCTCTCTCGCTCTCTCTCTCTCTCTCTCTCTCTCTCTCTCTCTCCATTTTCCATGTCTAATAACCGTACTCTTGTATAGTTCCAACCACAACCATTATAGATATACTTTGTAAACAACTAAGTCAAGAACAAATAAATTTATTCATATTAAGTGACATTGAATCACTTAAGGAACAACGCACAGAAATAATACTTACGCAAACCTGTCATAGACGGGGGGTGAAGGGGTGGGCAGGGGTGAGGGCGGTGTGTGTAAGGTGGGCATCACAGGCATGAGGGCGTGGTGGTGATGGTGGTGATGAGCTGGGTGGTGGTGACCCTCCCCATTCACCTTGTCGGGCGGCGTCAGGGACCCAGCAAGCATCGTTGACGCGGGATCTGGTTACATGTGAGAATATCATTAGTGTGACGTCAGTAAAGTATAAACACACATGAAAAAACAAAAGACGATCATCAATAATAAACACATGAAAAACAAAAGACGATCATCAATAATAAACACATGAAAAACAAAAGATGACCATCAATAATAAACACATGAAAAACAAAAGACGATCATCAATAATAAACACATGAAAAACAAAAGATCGTGAGTATAAAAGAAAGATTTATCTAAGAGGAAATGACAAACAGTATAAAAGGAAGATTGTTGTTTTTTCTTCAGTAGTTTCAATTGTACTTAAGACATACAGGTAATGAAAATATCAGTGCTAATAGAGGAAGATGTCAGGTGAAGATGATGATGATGATAATTAGAGGAGGAGGAGGAAGCTGTGGAGTAGGAGGCGTTGTTACAAAATGCTTCCTCCTACAGCAGGCACCACATATACCGACACTGACACTACACACCCACCTACAGGTATACCCAGCAGTGAGGACACACACACACACACACACACATTACAAGTAAGCAAAATTAGGGAGTTTGGAGGCGAGTAATAGGCAGGAAGACCCAGCAATGAACTGATACGTGATGGTGATGATGATAAGGAGGAGGAGGTAGGGAGAGCGGTAGCAGTGGTATAGATGGTGCAGTATAAGGCTGTGGTGAGTGAGTGAGTGAGTGAGGGGTAAAACTCATCATCATGGTCACCCAAACTTCCCCCCCACCCACCAAAATAAACCTTTAGTCTAAGTTAATATAAGACTTAATATACAATGCTTTATGACAGCCTGGGTGGGTGCATATAGTGAAGCCTTGACTTAGGGAGAGAGAGCAGAGGGGGGTGGGTGGGGGTGAAGCGTGTGCAGGAAGGTATATAACAGGTGCAGCAGTAAGGTGAAGTGAGGTCGCGGTGGATGGAGACAACAAGGCATAAACAACAACAGAAGAAGAGCTTACATCTGTGAAATCCGTAAGGCCTGACATCTGCTGATGGCCACGCTGGGAAGAGAAGAGACGAGAGGAGTCAGTCTACTGGAGGGGGGCATACACCTCCCCCACACACCTTCTGTTAACTTCACAACTACCATACTGTTATACCTTCTGTTAATGACTCATAACAAACAGGAAAGTAGTATTGTCTACATCTATGAGGCCTCTTCACTAAGCTACATATATACTATATATATATATATATATATATTATGCTCTACATGACAGATATATTAATTAATGGTTCTTACACAGGTGTTAGTAATGAGAGACAGTACAGGTATACTAGGCAGAGTATAAAAGGTAAACAACAGGTTAATATTATAATAAACGTCAGCAGGTGTACCTGAGGTCAGTAGAGGACCTGCCTGCTTGCTGACCCATGCTGCCTCCCCTTCCAACACACACACACACACACACACACACACACACACACTGTACAAGGGAGGAAGAAACATATTAATTTTCTTTCAGTGACGAGAGACACACGACCGACCAAGCGACTTGTTGTGGCGAAGATAACAAAAGGGGGAGGAGGTGAAGGCCGGATTCTCAAATATTCTGAGAGTTGTATTTCCCTTTAAGCTGTGATAGGATGTCAATGGTGGTGGTCGACAGAGTTCCAGTTTTAATATTAAAGTCATGTTTGTACCGCCATCTTTGTGTTGTGGTGAGTGAGAGGCTGTTACACGAGTTTTTACAGCAACAGTTACGAGGGGAAAAACTTAAGCTAAGAAAGTCTGAGAATCCTGGCGCGAGACGATATCCAGTGAGAGGGTTCCAGGTTCCAGGGTGGTGGCAAGGGGGGCGTGGCCAAGAGGCTGCTCGGGGGAGATCTATATGTCGCTGTGGCCGGTGATTGGTTGCAACGCCTCCATGCCCCGCCCCCCCTCCAGCTTCTTGGCCAGTGGCGTGTGACAACCTTGACGAGCCAAGAAAGTTCGGCCTTCACCTCTCCCATCCCGACGCCTTTGTGTTGGGCCAACAATGCCGCTTAAACTAGGCAATGACGCCCTCACGCCCACACTTAACACTAATGCCATCAACCAACAACATGGCGGCAGCGCTCGTCACCACCACCACTACGGCGCCACAACCATCAACATATAAAGCGCCATAACCACACTACACCACAGTTAACGTCTTCACCACCACCACAACAACTCTTTAAACCTGAGGAACGAGGTGTAGCGGCTCACAGTGACGCCATCATCAACAACATGGCGCCCATACCACCCCCCCCCCACGTACAGTAACAATACTTCTACCTACACAATTACTCATCATCATCATCATCATCATCAATACCATGATCCCTTTTGTACTGTTAGTGGTATAATTTTTCATAGGATATATTTTGTTTGTTGATTGAAGAATGTAACGTGTGGGGGTGGGGGTGGGGGGGGGACACTTGTTATAACAGGTGTGACACTTGTTATAACAGGTGTGACACTTGTTATAACAGGTGTGACACTTGTTATAACAGGTGTGACACGTGACAGACGACGTGTGTCATTATTATACATTACTTAAAGACCTCCTTGTTCTTATTCTTCTTGTTCTTCTTCGTCACAACAAGAAATGATAATTACTACCTATTCTCAAGACCACCTTTCTTCCTCCTCTTCTTCTCCTCTTCTCTTCCTCCTCCTCCTCTTCTCCCTCCTCCTCCTCTTCTCTTCCTCCTTCTTCAGCACAACAACTAACACCACCACCACTGTCTCCTCCTTCCTGCCCCCTTGTATTGATTCTCCCCCAGGATACCCGCACCCGAGGCTACACTATCACGGGGCGAAGGGAAGGAAGAAGAAGAAGAAGAAGAACAAGAACAAGAACAAGAAGAAGAAGAAGAAGAAGAAAAAGAAGAACAAGAACAAGAACAAGAAGGAGAAGAAGAAGAAGAAGAAGAAGAAGAAGAAGAAGAAGAAGAAGAAGAAGAAGAAGAAGAAGAAGAAGAAGAAGTAAGAGCTTTCATGTCAACACAACATATCCTTGAGACAACAGCGGCGTAAAAAAATATCAAGGAGGAGGAAGGAAGTGGTGGGTGAGGAGGATGTGAAGTAGGAAGAGGGGTGAAGGAGGAAGGTGTGGAGGGAGAGGGAGGAAGGTGAGGGACAAGTGGGGAGGGTGAAGGACAATGGGGAGGTGAAGGAGGGAGAGAGAGGGTGAGGGAGGAAGGTGAGGGACAGTGAGGAGGGTGAAGGACAAGTGGGGAGGGTGAAGGAGGAGAGAGAGGGTGAGGGAGAAAGGTGAGGGACAAGTGGGGATGGTGAAGAGGAGGAGAGAGGGTGAGGGAGAAAGGTGAGGGACAAGTGGGGATGGTGAAGGAGGGAGAGAATTGGGGAGAAAGGTGAGGGACAAGTGGGGAGGGTGAAGGAGGAGAGAGTGAGGGGAAAGGTGAGGGACAAGTGGAGGAGGGTGGAGGGAGAGAGATGGTGAGGGAGAAAGAGAATTGAGAGAGAGGGTGAGAGAGAGGAAGTGAAGGAGGGAGGAAGAAGAATTGAAGGAGGGAGAGAGGGTGAGAGAGAAGAGGGGTGAAGGAGGGAGGAAAGAAGGGTGAAGGAGGAGAGAGGGTGTGAAGGAGGAGAGAGGGTGAGGGAGGAAGAGGGGTGAAGGAGGGAGAGAGGGTGAGGGAGGAAGAGGGGTGAAGGAGGGAGAGAGGGTGAGGGAGGAAGAGGGGTGAAGGAGGGAGGAAGAGGGGTGAAGGAGGGAGAGAGGGTGAGGGAGGGTGAGAGGGTGAGGGAGGAAGGTGAGGGACAAGTGAGGAGGGTGAAGGAGGGAGTGTGTGGAGTCGAGCGGGGAACTCACTCAGTCGTACATACACAAGATGGCCGCTACTACTGCTTCTTCCCTCCCCTCTCCTCCCCTCCCCACTCGTCACCTCTTTACCCCACTCATAACCTCCCCTCCCTTCCCTCACCCATCATCTATCCCCCGTCTTCATTCTCCCCCTCCCACAAGGTCCCCTCCCCTTCTTTCTCCCCGTCCCATCACCTCCCTATCCGGTGGGAGTGGATGAGAGTTGACGGATGAGTGGGTGACACCTCACCTACACTGTCATTTCCCCCCTCCTCCTGTCTACTCCTAGTTGTTCATGACGTAATAATGACGTAACGATGACGTAAGCACCCTCCCTCCCTCCTCCTCCCATCCCACGCCATGAACGGGAGGGATTATCACCCCCCCCATCCCTTCACACGTGGGACGGGAGGAAAGGTTTGTTTATTCCTGTTACAGATTTCAGTAACAAGTGTGTGTGTGTTACGTGTGACATATGTACGTGATACATATTTACTGTAACACATATTGTACTGTTACACACATACTGTAACACATGCGGCACTGTAACACATGCGGCACTGTAACTCATTCTAGGGTGAACACATTGTAACGTGTATATGTGACAAAAACAGTGTTACGACAGTATGTGTTACGCTTATGACATATAATAACGTTTTTCCATATAACATTTAGTTAAGTTACATGATATAATTATTTTTTTACAAAGAATTTACCCCAAAACATTAACTTTACAGAAAACTAACATAAAATTATATTAGTTTTGTTTACAAGTGTATGAACAAATGAAATGTAGATGTGTGACAGGTGTGTGTGTGTGTGTGTGTGACAGGTGTGTGTGTGACAGGTGTGCGTGACAGGTGTGCGTGACAGGCTCATAGTTCATCCCATATCGTAGTTGTAACACATTTAACTGTGACACATATAAGACCTGGACACAGCGAGTAGTAATACACATGTACTGATCTGTTACTCGAGGCTGTAACAAGTCATGGGATGTAACACAGGCCAGTTCAACTAATGTTTGAGAACGTGTTACGCCAACTGTGAATGTGACAAGGTGTTACATATGTAGGAGTGTTGGACAAAATGGTGTTACATGTGTTACTATCCACCCCCCCACCTACCACCAACAGACAAGCTTAAACGGCTCAAGGAAACATATAAATAACACTAGTTGAAAATTGCGGGGTTGCATCACGAGATAAAACCGCTCTGTTCACACAATCTTCTCGTGTCATTACAGCATTTGTGTAAAAACGGGGAAAGTCTCTACCTACCTCACTCCCTCACTCCCACCCTGCACTCCCTCACTCACTCCCCCTACACCCCCCTCCCTCCCCAGGTGAGTTTATCCAAATCCACTAAATCCGTTGGAAAAATGTGAATGGTGTCCTTTTTGTGTGTGTGTGTGTGTGTGTGTGTGTCGGAGAGACCAGCTAGTTCCTCCTCCTCCTCCTCACACCGCCGCTGCTGGAAACCATTACCAATAACAGCTGAATCACCTCATTGCACATTACTGCCACGTCAACACCCCCCACCCACCCCCCCCTGATGCCCTGCCAGCCTCCTGCAGCTCGGCCACAACACCATCAGAAGTAGCGAGCATCAGCAAGCGTGTAGGTGGTGGTGGTGCTTTAGCTTCATGTTGACTTAGAGGAATTAAAAGAGTTTCTGGATGGAGTGGTTAGGTTAGGTTAGGTTAGGTCAGGTCAGGTCAGGTCAGGTCAGGTTAGGCTAGGTTAGGTAAGGTTAAGCTAGGTTAGGTTAGGCTAGGTTAGGTAAGGTTAGGTTAGGTGAGGCTAGGTCAGGTTAGGTTAGGTAAGGTTAGGTTAGGTTAGGTGAGGCTAGGTCAGGTTAGGTTAGGTAAGGTTAGGTTAGGCTAGGTCAGGTTAGGTGAGGCTAGGTCAGGTTAGGTTAGAGGAGGTAGGTGGTCATCCCTACATACATCTATCCCCCCCCCGGGTTGACACTGTATAATTTTGTGTCTTTATTTACATCACTATCACCACCATAACCGTAGCTCTTAACACATACTAACACCACTTATCACCAAACTCATGCTGCTATTAACAACCAACATTCTCAACCACATCAACCAAACTATATAATCTTGAACGTAATAACCACAACCTCTTTAAGAACTTAGGCTATAACATGACCTTGGCACCACCACCACCACCACCACGACGACCACCACCAACACCACG